TCACCCTTTTAAAAGGGTGTCATTTCGTCCTCTTACAGGTTGCTTTATTTCTGATGAAAATTCAACAGCCATAGTTTTTCTTTTTTCTCATCTCTTTTTGCGAGTCCACAACGTCCTTCCCACTTGCGGATTCTGCTTGGGCTGGTTGCCGTAATGCACATCTGTGGTCCCAGCACTCCAGGGGAGGTAGGAGGACGGATGTGAGCGGAGGCCAGCCTCAGTGACATGGCGAGACCCTGTCTCAAAACAACAAAAGCAGAAAGATTCTCATTATTGGCTTGCAGAGATTTAACAGGTTTTGGTTTCTTTAGCTTATTTTTTTTAAACAAAACAAAACAGTGCTGATGTTTGAACCCAGGGTCCTGCGCACAAGTGTTCCACTACTGATCTCTGCCTCATTAGCTCTAATTTAAGAACGTTTCCTCCTTCACCATCAGCAAGACCAGCGTTTAGATCCGATGGCAGAGGGAGCTGGAGGGCTATACATTTACATTTGACTGCTTTAAGATTGTCCCTGGGAGGGCTTGGGGTGGTGGCACATGCCTGCAATCCCAGCACTCAGGAGGCTGAGGCAGGAGGATCACCACAGGTGAGGCCTGCCTGGGCTATATACTGAGTTAAATGCCAGCCTGGACCTCACAGTGAGACGCTGTCTCCAAAACAAAATGACAGCGGAAGATTGTCTTGGAGCACTGTGGTTTTCTAATTGTTTCATCGTTTTTCTATTTTAGTTTGAATAGTTCCTATTATACTGTCTTTAGCTTCACTAGTCGATTTTTTTTTTTAAACATAGAGTTTTTCTTTCTTTCTTTCTCACGACCTTATGGGTGCCCGGTAGGTAGGTGCTTATGCCGCTGAGCTAAATCCCGTGTAGACAGGGTCTTTGTTGTGCTGTTGCTCAGGCTCTCCTTGTTGTACTCTAAGAAAATAGCTTCGTTATATGTGTATTATAGCAAACCTGCAACATGGCTTACTAAATGTTTTTTTATCCTTTTTCCCTAACTGATATGTTAAGTGACCTAATTGATATGTTGAGCAATACTCTCCTCTGTAAAGAATTGCGAGAATCTCACCTAATTGATATGTTAACCATTGTTGCCCTCTACAAACTACAGAAGTTGTGCTAAAACAAGCTAACAAGGGTTGTTAATCACTGCTAGGCGCCTCTATTCTCCGCTAAAGAGCTAAAGAAAACTAGAATGGCCCATTAATTTACACTTGTTTAAAGTAACCTGCTTGTGTGCAGAGAGATTTGCGTATGCGTTTAACCCTTTACCTGACCTTGACACATAACTGCCGTTTTCTGTTCTGTAAGGCGCCTTATTGCCTCCCTCTCCCCTCACCTATCTTTCTAGGCCATAAAGAATTTGGGTTTCTGGTGACCTCTTCCCGACCCAGTGATGATCTGTCATAAAATGAGGCTACCCCAATTTTAAGAACTGTTTAGCTTCAAAGAAATTACCGGGAAATACTATGGCCCAAACCCCAATCGGTGCTTTCCTTTGGTTCTGTATGCATCAAATGAGTTAGATATCAGATCTTTGGAAAACTTAAGTTTCAGCTTCTTGTAACTCTTGACCCCTTTGCACCCACTAGCGAAGACGAGCTGTCCTGGGATAATTAACTGTCCACTTTCTTCTCCAAATATTGCTGCAGATGTGCCACTCCGAGATAATGTCAGTCTGTAGGATGGGAGTAATTTGAGAAACACCAGGAACTCCCAAGATTGTCAGAGCTAAGTGGACAGCAATACAGTTTCCAGACTCGGGTCAACAAGTTTGATGGCTCTGCAGGTTTCTTTGTTTCTCCCCCCACCCTTTTCCTCCAGCCTCTTTTTAAAGTCCTCCCTTCAGTCTCTGGGGGACAGTCTCCAAATTGGCTCCCGGAGACTCGTCACCAGGCCTGGAAATAAAGCCTTTGCCACCTAAATTTTCGGTCTCTTGCCTCCTTGGATTTTATACCGGGCACGAGTTATAACACTGCTCATGCTCCCAGCTTTAAGCATTCCTCCTGCCTCAGCCTCTGAAGGAGCTGGGACTCTCGGGATGTGCCACCGTAGCTGCCCCTGAAAGTGCTGAGTCTTTTCCAGACCTTCTGCTGTTTCTCTGTTGATATTCCATATTTGTTCCTTCTTACATACAGGTTTTTCTTTAAACCCACTAATTGTAATAGTTGTTTGAAAGTCTTCATTTACTAGCTTTATCAAAGTTTATTTATTTCTGGACCTGTTTCTGAATTTTTCTTTTTTTTTTTTTTATTTTTTTTTATTTTTTTTTTATTTTTTTTTTGTCTTTTTCCTTTTTTTTATCGGTACCGGGGATCGAACTCACGACTGCCTGCTTGCAAGGCAGGCGCTTATGCCGCTGAGCTAAATCCCCAGCCCCTGTTTCTGAATTTTTCTCATGGCTGATGTATTTTAGTGAGAGCTGCACTTTATGGATACCACTTAGAGTGTCCGTGGTTTTGTTGTCTTCCTTATTAGGGCCTGTATTTTTTATTTTCTAGTTTACTTTTGGTTGCTTTTGGTTTTATTGTTTTTACAGTGCTGGGTATTGAATACGGGGTACTCTACACACAGAGCTATATTCCCAGTCCTTTTTTAAGGTGGGGTTTTGCTGAATTATCCAGGCAGGCCTCAAATTTGTAATACTCTTGCCTCAGCCTCTTGAGTAGCTGGCATATTCCGTGCATTAGTTATTTATTTAGGTCTTTTAGACTAGATCTTGCTGTGTAATCTAGGCTGGCTTTGAATTCAAGATACTTCTTGTCTTAGCCCACCAAGTACTGGGATTATAGGAATGTGCCACTGAGCTCAGCAGGTGTTTTACTTATTTTTGTAGTAAAGGAGATTGAACCCAGAGTTGCTGTACCACTCATGTACATCTCCAACCCCTTTTATTTTTTATTTTGAGACAAGTCTTGCTAAGTTCCTTTACTATGCAGGCTGGGTTTCAGTTTATGATCTGAAGGAGGCTGAGGCAGGAGAATTGCAAGTTGGAGCCCAGCCTGGCCAATTTAGGGAGATCTTGTTTCAAAATAAAAAAAGGGAGTGAGGATGTAGGGCATCTTAAAGACCTGAGGTTTAATCCTCAGTACCACCGAAAGCGGGGGGAAAGGTGTACTACAAAACACCACTTTTTGCCAGGGATTTAGCTCAGTGGCACAAGCACTTGCCTGGTAAGTGCAAGGTCATGAGTTCAAGCCCTGTAACCCTCTCCCCCAAAAAAAAGCACTTTTAAGGGCTTATAAATTTTACCTTACTTCAAACAAAATTTATAACATACTAGGGGAAAGTTCCCTGGAAGAGCACAGGAAGTTTTTTTTTGTTGTTGTTGTTACTTTTTTCTTAAGTCAGTACCGGGGTGCACTTGGAAGGCAGGTGCTTATGCCACTGAGCTAAATCCCAGCCTCTAGCACAGGAAGTTTTGGCTTCCACCTCTAGCATCCAAAACAAAGAAAATGTGTATCTGAATCCACTGGATGCTGAAGTAACAATATCCAAGACTGAGTAATTAATTAATTCATTGAGACAGAGTCTCTCTATGTAGTTCAGGCTAGCCTTGAATTTGCAGTGACCGTGAGATGACAACCTAAGAAGGAGTCATTTATGGAGAAGAGCAATGAGTGTCTTACAGAGCTGGAGGCCAGGAAGGCCAACCTTGGGAGGCCCAATCTTACAGGGCTTTGTTGCTTACATCATCCCTGCCTGCCTGCCTGCCTGTATGCAGGAGAGCTGGACTGGGGCATAGCTCGGTCCTATCCCAAGACTTGGGAGGCTGAGGCAGGCAGATGCTGAGTTTGAGGCCAGTCTAGATTATATAGTGAGACCTGTTTCAAAATACAACAAAAGAGAAAAAGCTGAGCTCATCCTCTCACAATAAGTCTCACTTCCAAACCAATGAGAAGAATCCATCCTGAGAGCAGAGCCTTCTTCATCTATCAGTTCTTAAAGGTCCCCTATTGCAACAGTGTTACAACTGGTGAACTTTGAGGGTCTGCCTCAAACCACAGCAGAAGACATGGTTACAGTGCACAGAGTGGATTAATTAGGGAAGTTTGCTTATGAAAAGGAATGGAGCTGGGAGAGGTTTGTTTTGCAGTGGCTTGGTTTGTTCCTGTGTTGCAGTGCTGGGGTTTGACCCTGAGGTCTCAAAGGCGTAGGGACTGGACCAGTGACCCACGTCTACTGCCTGGCTTTGCCTCACCCCCTCCCCTTGCAGTGCTGCAGACTGATCATGATTAAAGAGGTTTTTTTGTGTGTGTGTGTGGTGCTTGGGATGGAGCAAAAGACCTTGTGCATGCCAGGCAAGTGTTCTTATCACTGAGCTCCATTCCCCCTCTGCCCCCCCGGGAGTTCAGTGGGTTCAGAAGGCTGTAGGAGTCTGTGATGCCTTTTGTCTCTGGAAAGGCAGCAGCCTGTCTGGTGTTTCCCTTCCTCCTTCCCAGCTCAGCGCCATGCCTGTGGCATGAGTCAGTGCTGCCCTGTCACATGGGAAAGGGGCTACATGTCTTTGTTTCTCCTCCCTATTGGTTACTCTTTTAGAGCACCCTGGAGTGTATTTCCTTTTTAGGTTGTGGCCACTTCGGAGAGAAAGGATAGGCCTTCTTATCTCGTAGCACAGAATAGTACCTAAATAAATCTACCCTAAGTGAATGACTGTTGGACCTCTGCTTAAACTATCCCAAGTGTGTTTATTAAATTGTGAGATTTCTTGGTGTAATCTTCCACTAGGCTGTTAGCTCCAAAAGGAGAGGCGACAGCTCTCTGTCACTCATTCCTCTGCTGTGGTGGCTGGCAGACTAGATGGTAAGTGAAGGGCGGAGAGAACTTAATTTTTTCCAAGTACAACAGATAAAATTTTTCCCTTCAGTTAATAATTGGCATAAGGTGAATTCATTATAAATGTCACTATGAGAGCAGGAAAATCCTTGGATGGCATGACCTTTTATGCTAGATATTTGCAGGTTTATTCCAACGAAGTTTGGGGTTTGTGTTTTAGGAAGAGGCGTCACCCTACCCTTTGGTCAGTACTTGCCTGAATGTCCTGATTGCTAATCTAGAGAAGTTGTGTCCGGAGAGACCTGATGGAACCCTGTGCCTTCCTGAACATTGGACTTTCCCACAAGAAGTGGCTGACCAGTTCCTTGGGATGATGGCTTGGCAAGGTAACAAGACTGCTCTGGGTCTCCTCACACATAGAGTATTCTGCTTTTTGTGGGGGGTTAGTGGTGGGCATCACACCCAAGGCCTTTCACTGAACTACTTTCCCAGTCTCTTTTTTATTTTTTATATTGAGTTACGGTCTTGCTAAATTGCCCAGATTGGGCTTGAATTTGCAACCCTTTTGCCATAGCCTCCTGGAATGCTGACGCTGTAGTTTGCACCACCATGCCTGGTTTATCTTCTCTCATCCTACAGATTATCTTTTTGTTACTTGTTTGATTTTTCCTTTTTTGTGACAGGGTCTCACTATGCAGTTCAAGCTGGCCTGGAACGGACAGCAGTCGTGTGTGTGTGTGTGTGTGTGTGTGTGTGTGTGTGTGTGTGTGTGTGTGTAACAGACAGCAATCCTGTGTGTGTGTGTGTGTGTGTGTGTGTGTCCACACCAGCCTGCGTTGTTTCTTTTGCTGAACAGTTTTTTTCATTTCCTGTAACTCCATTCACCTGTTTTTGCTGTTTCCTGTACTTTTGGTATCTTGTCTGAAGCAGGACTTAAAAAGTAGTGTCTCAAACCTCCCCCTCCCTTCAGTTCTTTGCTCTGATACAAATAAAAGCAGTAACTTTTGTCCTTGTGAGTAGTTAATGGCCTCCTCTTCTCATAACATGTCTGTTATGCCTGAGCAAGGCCAACAAGATACAAAAGTGTTACAGACTGACAAACCGCCTTTGTTCTCCTGCCCTCCCACAAGCTCCAGTTGGCGCCCACAGACCAGCCTCCTTGGCAGATGTGTGGAAACAGGGCTTCTCCGCTGTTCAGCGCTCAGCATGTTGGACAGCAGTGTCTCCCCCCCCCCCCCAGCGGTGTGTACCCTGAAATAAACCGGTGCTGTGGTCTCCTCTGTCTCTTGGCTTCTGCACTCCTAGTGCTTTCATAGTCTTAGCTCTCCATTTGAATGATTTTGTAACAGGTGAGAATTTGGAGGGTCTAGTTTCACTTTTCTGCACGTAGATCTCCAGTTTCCCCAGCACTATTTCACCGAAAAGACTTTTTTTTTTTTTGTCTTTTTTATGGGTACCAGGGATCGAACTCACGACTGCCTGCTTGCAAGGCAGGTGCTTATGCGGCTGAGCTAAATCCCCAGCCCCTTGAAAAGCCTTTTTAATACTCCTGGTGTTTTTGGAGGTGGAGTTACCTATTTTGTGATTGGGTCTCAGCGTGTAATCCATGCTGGGCTTGAATTCACGGTTTAACTCGGACTGGCCTCCAGCTGGCAATCTCTTTGCCTCACCCTCCCATGTCAGCCATAGGACGATACTGTTTTGATCACTACAGTTTTGTAGCAGGGTATTGATTCTATTATTTTTGCTCAAAATAGTTTTGGCTATTTGGTTGGGATTTTTTTTTTTTGTTAATGATTCCATGCAAGTTTGAGGGTGTTTGTTTGTTTGTTTGTGTGTTTAAGGTCTGTGAAGGCGGTCATTGGTATTTTGATGATGGTTACACTGCAGCTGTGCATCACTTTGGATAGCAAAGACCTGTTAATGATACTGCTTTCTTCCAATCCAATCATGAACGTGGCCTATCTGGATACTTTCTGGGAGGAAGGAGTTACTTCCACTTCAGTTACTTTCATTAGTGTTTTATAGTTGACATTGTTCTTTTACTTCTTTGCTTAAATTTGTTCCTAAGTACTGTATTGATTAATAGTATCTGTTGTAAATGGGATTGCTTTCTCATTTTCTAATTCAGGTAATTCATGGTATGTAAAAATGGTTTTTGTTGTTGGGTTTTTTTTTTTCCTTCATCTTTTTGAGACAGGGTCTCACTATGCAGTTCAGGCTGGCCTTGGGTTCACTTTGTAGCTCTGGCTGGCCTTGAACTTGCAGCAATCCTCCAGCCTTAGCTTCCTGAGTGCTGGGATGACAGGCATGTACCACTACACCTGGCTCAAGATACTAATTTTTGCTGGGCCGGTAGCACGCTTCTGTCATCCCAGCACTTGGGAGGCTGAGGCAGGAGGATTGTTGGGAGCTCGAGACCAGCCCAAGCTACAAAGTGAACTGCAGTTCAGCCAGTCTGAACTGCACAGAGAGACCCTGTCTCAAAAAACAACAACAAACAATCTTTTTTGAGATTAGATAGTGGTCTGTGCATTTGTTTTTTCTTTGGTTGTGTTTTTGTCTGGTTTTGATATCAGTATAATGCTGGTCTTGTAAACTGAGTTTCCTTCTTTTTTCCTTCTTTTTCTCTGTCTTTTTTTTTTTTTTTTCCCCTCAGTTCTGGCGATTGAACCTAGGGATGCTCAGTCACTGAGCTAAACCACAAGCCCTTTTTACTTTGAGATAGGGTGTTGCTGAGTTGCCCCGGTTGACCTCAAACTTGTAATCTTTCTGCTTGAGTCTCCAAAATATCTTGGATTCATGATTTTCAGTTTTATTGAAAACTAATTCAAGAAGTAAACTACCCCCTCAGTCATGTAAAAAGCATCAGTGTTGGTTCTCCTGTAAGTGTTTAGTGGAATTCACCTGAGAAGCCAGCTGGTACTGGTGCTGTCTCTAGCCCGTGTTTGTTTGTTTGTTTGTTTTCCTTTTTTTTTTCTTTGTAGTCTGCAGAGTGTTTGTCTTTGATTGTTTTGAGATGAGGTTTTACCATGTTGCCCAGGACAACCGCAGACTCCTGGACTCCTGGACTCCTGCAGTTCTGTGTCATTTTCCTGAGTAGCTGGATTCTAGGCATGTACCAGCGTGGCAGCCTGAAGACTTACTTTTTCATCCCAGAGGTTGTAGCCAGGCCCTCACGTGTGCTAAACACTTAATACTCTATTCTGACCAATACCCCATCGGGCTAGTCGGGAGCCTTACTTAGGGTTAGATTAGAGTGTGAGCCCCTGTAAGAAGTAGAAAGGAAATAGTTTCTGCATCTCAGCAGCTTGCCATCCTCTGGCTCTAGCCTCTTGGAGTGCTGGGATTATGGGTCAACACGGCATCTGTCCTTATCAGCCTCACACGCTTCCTGGAGATGTATGAGCTCTAGCAGTCAGTACAAGCTGGTTCTGCTTCTCTTACAGGAAAGCTGACTGATAAGACAGCAAGCATTTTCCAAGGCAACCAAATGAGCCTGAAGCTGGTCAATATCCAAAGAGCAAAAATCTCCGCCGCCGCCTTCATTAACTACTTCTGCCATCATAAGCTCCTTGAAGTGGATGCTACTGCTGTACACTCTGACCTTCCAGTCCCGGACATCATACGGGGACTCTGCAGCAGTACCTGGATCCAGCAAAACCTCCGGTGTCTCCTCTTAGGCTCGACAAGTGTCCCTCAGGATTCCGGACTGCCGTCCTTTGGTCAACTCACTGGCCTTCGCACGTTAAGTGTTTTCAATGTTTGCTTTTATAGTGAAGATCTGGCCAATGTTTCTCAGTTACCAAGCCTGGAAAACTTGGATATCTCTAATACTCAGGTAACCAACATCTCTGCACTCCTCACCTGCAAGGACCGACTCAAATCTCTCACCATGCACTATTTGAAATGCCTGACCATGACCAAACCACAGATTGTTGCTGTCATGAAAGAACTTAAATGTCTGCGTCACCTTGATATTTCTGGTCACAGACAACTCAGATCAGACCTAGGTTTTTATTTGCTGCAGCAAAAGGATATCTTGCCTGATATTGTGTCCCTCGACCTCTCTGGGAGCAGTCATATCACCGACAGAGCTGTGGAACTGTTCATACAGCAGCGGCCTGCCATGCAGTTTGTGGGACTCTTGGCTACGGATGCTGGTTATTCTGACTTCTTCACTACAAAGCAAGGCTTAAAGGTTTGTTCTTACCTGAAATAAGTTTTGTTTCATTTGTTCAGCACGTGATCAAATTCTTGCTGTGTATAGGAATCTGCTTAGTATTAGTTAATAAGAGATTTGTAACAGTTAATAATTATGATGCACTTATTATGTGATAAGTTGTGGGCTGACATTAAGGCACAGTGCCAGCTCTGTCTCCTAGTCGAGCTTGATGATGCTAATTAATTACGTCTGTCACTGTCTGTGTGCCTCACTCCTTGCTGTCCACACTGCTTCCTTCTTTAACTCTCCAGTTTTGCTGATAAGGAAGGGAAGCAAAAGCTCTACTTAGAATCATGCAGCTAACTGTTAAATCGTGGGCTGAGATCCGTGTCTGTGTTTTCATGACTCTGAAACTTGTGCTCTTTACCTCTTTCTTATTAAAAGGTAAATTTAGAATGGGCGGGTAGAGCTCAGTAGTAGATAGTTTGATTCCCCAGGATGGCTTGGGGAGCTGAATATAACTGACAAGCCAGATGATCATTATGAGTATGTGGCTAGCACTCTTTTTTGGCCAAGGTCTGACAAAAAGCATTTCTTAAAAGAGTGTTTAAAAATGTTTTGAAGTTGGGTTTGGTGGTGCACATCTGTAATCCTAGCACTCTGGTATAAGAGGATCACTCCAAGTTCAAGGCAATCATTGGCTACATAGCAAAACTCTGTCTCAAAATGAACCATTTTGGAGCTGGGCTTGCTGGCACATACCTGTAATCCCAGCACCTGGGAAGGTTAGGCAAGAGGATGGTAAATTAAAGGCCAGTCTGGGCTGAGCTACACAGTGAGACTTGTCTCCGTGCACCACCCTTCCCAAATGTCGTAAAGGGTTAAGAGGGAGCTTGGTGGCAGAATACTTGCTTAGCAGGTGCAAGACCACCCTGGGTCTGATTCCAAATACTGCAAGAAAGAAAATGAGAAAAGGACAAATCTAGACGCCCCTTGCCCTTGGCTTCCTGTCTTGCCTTGTGGTATCGCCTCATGTGAGCTGCACATGACAGCTAGATGAACCTTGCAAGGCTGAGTAGATTCAAGTGCCATGTTCTTGAGTATCCAAAGCCTTGAGCTGAATAAACACCTTTTTCTTTATGTATTATCCAGCTTCAGATATTTTATTACAGCTTTGGAGAACCAAAGGCAACATCCAAATGCATGTTACTTCTTATACCCAAAATAAGAACAGACAGTGTGCTGGGCGTGCTGGCACCTGCCTGTAATCCAAGCACTTGGGGGACAGAGGCCAGGCTGGGCTACAAAACGAGTTCAAGGCAAGTCTGAGCTACATAGTGAGACCCTGTCTCAAAAAAACAAAGCCAAAACCTAGCAAAACAAAGAGAATGGACAGTGTGGGCTTACTGCACTTAAAGCGGATGGAAAGGCTACCATTAGTAATAAAAACCCAGGGGTACATTCATTTGCTAGGAAGTAGTACATGATCCATCGATGGAAGGCAGCGAGAATCGCTGTGGTGGATTCTGCTGTATTGACTTCTGCTGTGGGGAGCTCTTGAAAGAGCAGGCAGTGCAGAAGCTGTCCAGCCTTTGTATATCCTTTGTTTCTTTTTCAACTCTGACAGCTGTGTGATCACCCCCACACCATCCCCTTTTTTTAAACTTTAGAGTGTATCCACTGTTGGTTTGTTTTATTTACAGACAGGTGATTACTATGTAATCCAGGCTGACCTTGAACTTAACTATGTAGCCTAGGCTGACCTAGAACTTGCAGCCTTTGTGCACACATGCACATGTAGCTCTTTTCAGAATCATTTGAGGTTGATTACATGTATCATGTCCCTTTTATCCCTTAATACTTAGGTTTATAATTCCTTTTTTTATCAGTAAGGGGATCGAACTCGGGATCGAACTCACAACTGCCTGCTTGCAAGGCAGGTGCTTATGCTGCAGAGCTGAATCCCCAGCCCCAAAAGGTCTCCAGAGAGGCAGGAGCAGGCCTCCAGCTGAGATTTGAACCCGGGTACCTGCCGGGGGGCGGGGTAGCTTTCCTACCCTGGAGGCACAGCAAGGTTTATAATTCCTAAGCACCAGATTAGTCTCAATAACTACTGTACAGTTATCATATTTCAGGACATTCAACCTTGGGAGAATCCTTTCTTATAATCTAATCTCTATTCCAGCTTTGATGGTCCTGGTAATGCCCTTCGTTTTCCTTTTAGCTCAGGATCACATATTGTATTCCTTCTTCGTATTTTCTTACAGTTTAATTTAGAACCCTTCCTTCATCTTAATCTTTTTGATACTGATGTTTTTGGAAAACGTAGATTAGCTTTGTCTATTGCCTCTTTTAAAGATTGTTTTTGTGTGGAGTTTGTCCTTCTGTTTAGAATCAGGTTCTTTTTTTTTTTTTTTAAAGGAAAAAGAGAAAAAAAGCAGAACAGAACAAAACAGTGTAAGGGTACAAGTAATTCAGAACTACAAAAAAAAAACCAGTAAGCTATCACCAGTTAATAGATTACACGCTATCATCTTAGAAACGGTGATTCAGGTCACAGGATCAAAGCATACAAAGTGAACATTCAAACAGTGAGACTGCAAATAGTTGTATTCAGTAATCCAATCAAAAATATTAATATGGTCTTCTATGTAACACACCTAAACACCCTTGCTGTTGTATCCTTTAGGGCACTTTTTTTTCCCTCTCTTTATTACAACAAAATTTACACATTTTGGGTTTTACTGCTCCCTAGATCTTACTACTTTTTTTTTTGTAAGAGAATAAAATCAAGCATGATATAACAAAGCTGTCAGTCAAAACCAAGGATAGACATAGCACATGATGTAAAAAGAGTACAAGGTTATCAACAATGGTTACCATAATGCCTCTTGCTTCCTTAAGAAGAATTGTCTATCTCATTAGGGATTATAAAGATGAACAAAACAGTAGAGAACAAGACCAATAAAACCTAAACATTGTAAATATTACAGAACCTCAAAAGAGGCTAATAGTCAAACCAGAATGGGCATCATAGTGAATCTTATTGCCTTCAAAGTAGTTGCCTATACTCTGATACTTGATACTTTCATACAGAGCAGAATAGAGTCTAATCAGTCAAAACAAGATAACGAGGATATTACAGGGCTTCAAGTTAATAGGAAATCAAAAAAGTTACTATAATATATCCTGCTAGTTTTTTTTTTATTTTTCCCCCTTAGTTTAAAAAAGAAATTTAAAAAGTTAAATAATTTTTTAATGAATAAGGGAGAGGTTGAGATAAAAGGGGGCATATCAACATAACAATACAGATTAAAGCATGACACTTTCAGCAACCTAGTGCTTCACCACCAAATAACCCGACTTAGTAGTAGTTACCATAGTGTCTTTTTCCTTGAAATATTTGAATATGACTTCATATGCTATAGCTTCAAACATATCAAGACTGTAACACCATTCAAGTGGATGAAAGCATTGTAGAGTATTTAGAACCAGCTAACAGAAAAATGAACAATGATTTCTATATTGTCTCTTTGCCTATAACAATTTTTGTTTACACTACCACATACGATAAAATCCAGCAAGCTACAACAAAGATAAAATCAATGGAGACAGAAGAGCCATAGTTTGGTGCGGCTTCAAAACAAGATGGTATTAAATCAGCACTAGCTATTATGATGACTTGTTTTCTTTAAAATAGCTGTTCATTGCATCACAGGCCATAATATCAGATAGCCCAAAATAAAGCCATAGAATCAGGTTCTTTTTCACTTACTGAAACACCATATGCAGGCTGATTGGTCCTTTCCAGAGTATCAAATTCCCAGCACACAGTAAATACCTGTTGTTAGAGTTAGTTAGTAGTTTTCATCACTTGATCTAAGTACTGTATTGTCCAGTTTCTCCAAGCAATTTATTGTTGACAAAACTGCTTGATAATAGAATCTAACAAGCAGTATATAATTTACATAAGATACTTGAAGATCATGCAATTGTCTAAGTAAACTTTTTGATATACATCTAGCATCCATTCATGATTGCAAAGTGATTGCTTTTTCCAGCCTCAGCACTCTTTCTAGCTTTAGCAGTCTACATTATACTCCATTATTTGTTTTCTTTTTTTTTTTTGTACTGGGGATTGAACTCAGCGCCTTGTGCATGCCAGGCAAGCACTTTATATCCCCAGTTGTCTACTCCATTTGTGTTTAATCTGCAGTCCATGTGGATTCGTTGATTCCTGTGGTTTTCAGTACTCTAGAATTCATTACACCCTTAATTATTTTGGCGGTCAAATCGTCACATATTGGCTAATAAGAGCTCCTTCAAACTGGCTCCTTTTCTTTCCTCTGGTGGTACTAGGGATCAGAATTACATTCTGTAATTAAAATGCTCGAATATCTAGCTGTGAGGTCTGTTCGACTTGCTTTGTTTAGTTGATTTCTTCCTTGTTCTCTGGACAGTCTTAGTGTTTGAGTACGCTGTCCGTGCAGTTCCTACAGTGTCTGATTTAATGCAGGGATAGGCTGTATTTGTGCAAAGGTTTTTGTAATCAGCCATATTGTGAATTAGGGTTTTTATCACCAGTATTTGTGAGGTTTTTGGCTTTGTCTTGCCTGAATCCTAGCCCCTGGAACTTCTTTTAGTTTTGAAAAGTTTTCTAGGATGATAGTTTCAAATAGTTCATTTTTTCAACAAAAACTTCAATTTTAAATATGTTAGACCTTCTTTGTTTTTTGGAATTACAGGCATGTGCCACCACGTCTGGCTCAACTCTGCCTGTTTGAGAGGGTTTTATCTTTTTCTTTCTTTCTTTTTTTGGTGCCAGGGATTGAACTCACAACTGTGTGCTTGCAAGGCAGGTGCTTTTACCGCTAAGCTAAATCCCCAGCCCCATGTTTTCTTTTTATATACCACAGTGCATCTTGAGAATAATTAAGTTTGAAATACTTTGTTGTAATTTTCTTCTGTTTATGGGAAGACTTTTTCTTAGTTAAAATGTGTAGGCATTTATTTTCTAATTTCTTTTTTTGGTACCAGGGATATTAAACTCAGAACCTCAAGCTTGCCAGGCAGGCACTGTGCCGTATCTCTGGCCCTGCTTTTTGGTTTTTTGAGACAGGCTCTGACAATGCAGTTCAGGGGAGCCTTGAACTCAACAGTATAACTCTGATTGACTTTGAATTTGAGGCAATCCTCCTGCCTCAGCCTCCCGAGTGCTGGGATTACAGGTGTGTGCCACCACACCCAGCTTATTTGAGCTACTGAGCTAAATCCCTGGCCCCTTTGCTAATTTCTTATTATCATTTTATGTAGAATTGATCAGGGTCTTATTTCTTGGCACCTCGTTGACAGGATTCCTAATTAAAAGCAATCTTGTCATTTTAGGCAAGTGAGATTTTATCAAGAGGAAAATGTTATTGCTTATGGTAGGATAGAGAATGATTTTTTTGTTCTTTTTTTTTTTTTTTTTTTTTGGGGTACTGGTACTGGGATTTGAACTCATGACCTTGCACTTGCCAAGCAGGCACTTACATCACTGAACTAAACCCCCAAGCCCCCCCTTTTTTTTTTGTCTTTTAGAGATAGGGTCTCACTCTGCAGTTTAGGCTGGCCTTGAACTCATAGTGATCCTCCTGCCTCAGCCTCCCAAGTGGGGAATGTTTTTAGTTTGACATTGTAGAATTCTTGTCCCCTATCCTCTGCCCCACTGCCATTTCCATCTTTTTTTTTTTTTTTTTACTAATCATAAATCTGAAAACTGGGTCACATCTAATTTTACTTAAATGATTTGTTGACTTTATGGTTTGGAAAGAAGATGGGGGAAGAGTTTGGGGGGGCAAATACCTTTCAGACCCAATATTTATGTAGACTGTTGGATATATATACTTCAGCGATAGAAGGAAAAATTATAATGCTAAACAAATAAAAGAATATTTCTCACAGCTGCTGCTTCATATTATTTTATGAGGCCTTGTTCATAAGTTTTTCTGTTTGAGTACTTAGAAAAGATATGCATTCATGATTATTGGTTGTTGAGAAATTTACATGTTATTCATCATTCAGTTGAGGTCTCAACTGTAATGTAGTTGTTTGTTTGTTTGTTTTGTTTTTTTCCGGCTTGTTGAGACAAGGTTTCACTATGCAGTTCAGGCTGGGCTTGAATTCACTTCTGTAGCCGCGGCTGGCCTTGAACTGGCAGGGATCCACCTGCCTCAGTATCCCAAAGGCTGGGATTACAGGTGTGTGCCATTACACCTGGCCTGAGTATTTGATTGTGAGGCCACTGCTTAATTGTTTTGTTAAATTAACATCACACTTTAAAAAAAAATTACCATCACACTTAATCTCTTTGGATGTACAGGTAAGAAAATGAGGTTAATGAAATCATTAATCATTTGGAACAATGTCTCAGTCAGAACCTCCTAAATAGTCTGGAACGTTTAATTGGACCCCTGTGACACTGTTTCAAGCCCTGGGAGCTCAAAAAAGACCGCTTGGCTGACCAGTGGACCCATGAAGGTTGTGTTTTTCAGGTTGCTGGAGGAGCCAATATGAGTCAGATTTCTGAAGCACTGAGCCGATACAGGAACAGGTCATGTTACATGAAGGAAGCTCTCTACAGACTCTTCACAGAGACGTTTTCAGTACATGTAACCATGCCTGCCATTTTAAAGGTAATTGCGTCTCAGAAAGGCAGTCTGGATTACTGCATCTTACTTGGTTCAGTGAAAAGTTGTCCACCAGCCAGCCATACCACAGGACCTTTAATGCCTTGTTCTGTAATGAGTCAAGGGCACTCATCAAAAAGGAAATCAGTGTTCACTCTACCAGCTTGTCTCTTGCTTTCCGTATCTGAAGTTACTCGAGGAGCTAGGGATGTACCTCAGTGATAAAGTGGTTGCTTACTGTGGACGAAGCCATGGGTTTGAGCTCCAATCCTGTTAGGGGTGGAGGGAGAAAATGTGAATATGAATGAATTCAAATTAAGAATTTGGTTTGAGGATGTATGGTTCGTATCTAAATGTTTTCCTGAAGGCTCATGCTCATGGGTAGGGCTTTGGGGAGGTGACTGAGTCATTGGGACTAATCCACTTGAGTATACAGTTAAACACACTGCTGGGAGGTGGAGCCTGATTCCCAAGGAGCTGTGTGCTTGGGGGTATGTTCTGGAAGGGTCCATCCTGCTCCTTTTGATTTTTGGGATGGTATCTTGCAGCGTAGTTAAGGTTGTCCTTGAACTCACTGTGTGGTCCAAACTGGCTTCAAACTTGCGGCAGTCCTCCTTCCTCAGCTCTCTGAGTGCTAGGGTTGCTGGTATGTGCGCCACACCTGGCTGTCCCTTGTCTCTTGATCTGTCTGTTTCTTGTCTGTCATGCCATAAGCAACCCTTCTCTACCATGGTGACCAGCGTTGGAGCCAGTTAACTATGAACTGAAACTTTACAAACCTTTCTTCTTTACAAACCTTTCTTCCTTTTAGTTGTGGTTGTTGAGCATTGTATCTCAGCACTGAGGAAAGAAGTAACACAGGTTTTGGTAGCAGAAGTGGGGTTGTTGCTGTGACTCCCTGACCATGTAGTTCAGAAGCTTTCAGAACTGGCTCATAGGACTTTGGAAAGGCTCAGAGATGCCACCCAAGAATGTCATCCAAACTCGGTGGATGTTTCTGATTAGAACTTAGAAGACCAGAATTCTTATAAAAAGCAGATGGAAATGACCAGGCTCAGGAAGTTTCCGTTGGGAACAAAGACTCCATTGACAGTTGGACTCCTGGCCATGAATGTTATGCTTTGCCAGAAAATTTGTCTACATTATGTTGCTGTCCTGAGATTGTGAGGGAGACTGAGATTAAGAACCGAAGACTAATTAACCTGGCAGAGGAAATGTTTTTGTTGTTGTCGTTAGCAGGAATTAAACTCAGGACCTCACACTTGTCGGGCAGGCACTTGTACCACTGAGCTGTATCCCTGGCCCAGGCAGAGGAAATTTGTGAGGCAGCCTAATGCTGAAGCTTTGGCATGCGTATTGCTAAGGAGTGTTGCCCAGCTTTACCTTGGAAATAAAGAGCAAAAGATGTAGCCAAATGATTCAACATGTTCACAGTGGGGCTGTAATTCATATGTTTTGCTGTCAGGTGGCTCTGAGTTGAATTGACTTCCATCAGGCAGCTTGAGCCACTTCTCAGGGAGTCTTTGATTACACTAATACAAAGAAAAGTATTGATTTAGCAGACCGGATTGTCATCATAGTCTAGTTCTTAAGGAAACTGTTTAGGCTGGGGATTTAGCTCAGCAGCCAAAGTGCTTGCCTGGCAAGTGCAAGGTCATTAGTTTGATCCCCAGTACCAAAAAGAAAACCAACTGTTTAAATGGTATAAAAAATTGTAATCAGCTGATTTGTGATATAGCAGTCACAAATACATATTATAATGGGATACTTGTAAGATTTGCATGCCAGAGGTTAAAACTTTTTTTGGTTTTTTGAGCCAAGAGTCTGGCTATACAGTTCATGCTGACCTTGATCTCACAAAGTAGTCAATGTTGGTCTTTGAACTTACAGTCATCCTTCTTTCTCAGCCTCCCAAAGGCTAGGATTACAGGTGTGTATCACCACACCTGGCAAAAATCAATTAGTGTTAGACTGTTAATCATGAAGAAATGCTATTGGATGCAAATTACTTGAAAAGACTTCCTTTATAAAATCTTATTTAGGATTGACAAAAAATGTACACAAGCAATGTAGACAATATTACTGAAAATTGTCTGAAAAAATGAGTGCTGTTGTGGCCAAAAACAAAAAAACCAAACATGATATTTCATGTACTCTGCACAAATCAGCCACCTTCATGTATAAAAGGTTGTAAAAAAAATTATAAATACAAATTACTTGTGAAATAAATTTGTTAGTTGTAATAATTTTGATTGGTGTGAATGGTATGAATAATTTATATTTGGGTAGATTCCAGCAACTAACTGGATTTGGTCCATTTCTAGATTTTTTATTAACTTTAGTAGTAAAAAGACCAAACTGTCTGATGGGACAGTCATAAACTTATCGCAGGTGGTTCAAGTTGGTGGGGACATGTTAAAAACTTTTTGAGTTTGGCCAGAAAGAAAGCTTAGATAAAGTTGGGGCCTGCAAAGTCGGAGCAGATGAGAGCTTAGTAGCTGAGGTAAAAAGAAACCCAATACTTTTTTTTGCAGGACAGTGGGAAAAATGGCTTTGAGGGCATCACTGGGACAGCAAGATCCCTCCCTTCGCAGGCTTAATTGTGAAAGCTGAAAGACTTTGCTCTGAGAGGTGCATCCTAGGGCATCCGTCGGAGTACTGTTTCCTTAAGGAACTGATGGCCCAGGATTCAGTTTACCCTGCACAGCCACCCAGGTACTCCAGGCCCCTGCAGCAAGATGCAAAAGTGCTCAGCAACTGTTGCAGCTGGGGGCGGACCATGGCATCTTCCACATGATGCTGGTTTTAGATGCATGCAGAATGCAAGGGTTGTTGGGTCAGGAGGGCATCCACCCAAGTTTTAGGAAAAGATCTGGGAGGTCAGGCAGTGTGCCCTGAGAGGGCAGTATGTGAAGCTGTGAGGGTGAAGCCAGAAGGGGAGTGGAGACCCTCAGATGGTCAGTTGTCTGAGGAAAAGGTGCAAACAATGAGCAAAGCCAGCCCAAGAGAGATACCACGGGTGCTACACCACTGGCCATGCTGTAAGGACAGGCCACCAAGCTCTCTGAAGTGTACATCTCACCCGTTTGTCCCAGTCTGGCAGCACAGAACTAAGAGACGTAATGTTTGCCCTGCTGAGTTTTGGTCTTACTTTGGCATCATTCCTTTCTTTCCCCACATGGGGGAAAGGATGTGTATCCTGTGCCGTTATATGTTGGCAGTGTTTAACTCTCTTTTGATTTTTACAGGGACTCACAGGAGTTTGCCTTGAGTCTCAAAGGAGACTTTGAACTTAGATTTTTCAGCAGTGCTGGAACTGTTAAGGCTTTGGCAACTTGTAGAGATAGACTAAATGCATTTTACAGTTAATGTGCGTAAGAGTTTTGGGAGCTGGGGTAGAATTAACATCTAACAACCTCATCTTATAGGTGGGCTCTTGGGAGGTGGTGGGTCATGGGAACTAATCCACTGATGAGCTTATAGCTCAATGTCCTGTGGGGAGGCACAGCTGATCTGAGAGGAGGTGGGTCTCGCGGGGTGTGACTCAGAAGGTCTGTCTTCCTCCCAGCTCCCTTGATCTTTCTCTTTGTGTCTCTGTCTGTCTCTGTCTCTCTGTCCTTCTCCTTCCTATCTGCCATCCATGAGCATTCTTTTTCAGCTATGCGTCTTTGCTATGCTGTCTGTCTTTGAACTGAAACCTTTACAAACTGTGAGCCAAAATACACTTGTCCTGCTTCAATTTATGGCTGTCAGGTATTGCGTCTTAGTGATAAGTCAGCAGAGGATCACTGTGCTATTTTGTCCAAAATAGGATGGAAGCATGTGTTAATATGAATTTGCTTCTTATGTATTCATTTATTCCTAAAGAACAATCTGACATCTGATTGTCTTTTTCTTTTTTCAGTGGTGTTGTGGATCAAATCCTGGACTAATGTATGTTAGGCAAGCACTCTACCACTGAGCTTGACCCCGGCCCCTAAAATCTGATTTTCTGAGTGAAAATAAAGTAAAATAAAACAAAATCACTTGAAAGTGGCCAAATCTACAATTCAAAGTATTTTATGAATCAAATAAAATGCTAGTTTTTGCCTTGGCCTTAGGGAAAAATAAATTTATTTTAAATATTATCAAAAGTAGTTGTTTGGGAAAGGAACTTCATGTATCTTATTCATTTTTCTTTTGTGAAAGTGTGTTTTCTTTCTGTGGTGATGAAACATAGGGCCCCTTACATACTTTTATTTTTTTGGTACCGAGAATTGAACTCAACCTTAACTGCTTGCCAGGTAGGCATTTATGCCTCTGAGCTAAATCCCTGACCCTCTAATCCTCTGACCTCTTACGCGATAGGCAAACGTTTAGCCACTGAGCCACACCCCTAGCCTTGTGTGTGTGTATTTTAACTACAGTTATGAAAAATTAAAACATGAAGCATCTTTTAAAAATTGATGCTTGTAATATTCTGCGGTTCCTTAAACATGTGGCAGGACTAGCATAGCTCAGTGGGGGAGATTTGCCTAGCATTGCCTCACTTCCAGTCCCAGTACCACCAAAGCTGTTTCTTTTGCGGCATAAGAAAATTAAATTTGTTCACAATTTAGATACTTAAATGCAGTACTGTGGCCAGGCATGGTAGTGTGCAGCTGTGATCCCAGTTCCTTGGAGAGGCTAGAGCACGGGGATCAGAACTTTGAGCCCAGCATGGGCAACTTAGAGAGACTCTGACTCAAAATTTTAAAAAAGGGTTAAGGGGAGGTAGAGAATGTAGCTCCAAGGTGGAGGCCCGAGTTCAATTCCCAGTACTACCACCGATCAGATCAATCAGTTGATGAATTGATTGATTGATAGAAATGCGAGAGATCTTGGTCCTGATTCATGACAGTATCGATAGCATACTCTCCAGGCGATCTCTGCTTTGTGGAGGAAAGAGATCACTGCGTGTCTCGGTGTTGGAGTAAGAAGAATCTAAGCTTAGAACCTCGCCCTGGTTTTGCGTTTGTGTTCTTGGTTTCCCATTGTCTGGCCTCATTGTACTTTACTACGGTAGTTTTCAAATTCTTGCTCTTCTGTTGGTGGACTCACTCATCCTTTGTCTGCCTTGTGTTTGTTCTTGTCACCTATTACTTCCTGGGAGGCCCCTCTCCCTGTGGCCCCATCTCTGCTTCCCACCTACCTTCCTGGTGTCTCTGCTGAGTGAAGACCTGCATGAGTGCACCCGGGGGGCCGCCCTCGGACTGTTGCTTCACTCAGGCCTCTTTCTTTGGCATTTTCCGGTTTTGTGGTTTAATATCCCTCATGGTGTGCTGGCGTGCCCTGTTTTCCTTACGTGGTTTTCTGCTAAGGAATGAGGTAGAACTTTGATTCACACTTGCGTCCGCTGCAGCTCCTTGTGCAATAAATGTGAATAAATATGTGCAATAATAATAAGTAATAAATAATAAATGTGAATAAATAATGTGCAATAAATGTGAAGTGCAATAAATGGCTGTGAAGTGAGTTTCACAGAGGAGGGAAAGGACTTGCCTAGAGCCGCACGGTTGGTTCCCGGCTGCGTGTAAATAAGAAAGTATTGATGCAAACCTTGCTGTCTTCAAAGAGTAAGTACTGAGGGTGGGGAAGTAGCTGTTTCATGAGGTGTTTTCACCAGCCAAAACAAACACAGAGAAGACTGATGGTGTTCTCATGTGCCATTAAATAAATCGACTTTGTCTTCAGCTCGTCGCTGTAGGAATGAGGAATCACCCTTCGGACTTGGCGGTGCAGTTCACAGCCAGCGCCTGCGCCCTCAATTTAACGCGCCAGGGCCTGGCCCGGGGGATGCCCGTGCGCCTGTTGTCGGAAGTCACCTGTCTCCTTTTCAAGGCGCTGAGAAATTTCCCCAGTTACCAGCAGGTAATTTGAGATGAATATTGTGCTTGTTTGATGCTTTGTTAAAAAGCAAACTTTTATTTATTTCTTTTTTAAATTTTAAAGAGAAAAACTATAAAACAGAATTTCAAAACAAGCTAATAGGAGGGGCCGGGGATTTAGCTCTGCGGCATAAGTGCCTGCCTGGCAAGTGCAAGGTCCTGAGTTCGATTCTGGGTACCAAAAACATAAACTAGGAAGGCAATAAAAGTTAATATACTAATATAATAATAATATATTATTATCTTTAAATAAAAGTATTCAGAGTACAACATATAGGCATTTAATTGTTCAAATCATTTGTGCTTTTTACCCTCATGAAAAATATGTATTATTTAGATTTTCTGTTTTTTTATTCTCCCAGAGAGAGGGAGGACAAAAGGAGAGAGGGGCGGGGGGGGGGGGGATGGAGAACTCAAAAGCAGATAAGGATTTCATATTTGTTAGAGGAAGTATGGGTAAGCAATAAAGATAAAAAGTTTCAAACTCTTATAAACCAGTTACCCAGAAACATCTTTTAACAATTCAGCATATCTTTATAGTCTTAAAATTCTTGACCTTTTGTGCATGCTTGAAAGTTAGGTTGAAAAGCGAAAACCACAAAACTTCTAGAAGAAAACAAAATATTTTTAACTCGGCTAGCAAATTTTTTTAGGATATAAAAAACTACATCTTTAAAAACAAAACAAAACAACCCTAAAGCATGGCACCGAGGCACAAGCCTATAATTCCAACTACTTGGAAGACAGGCTAGAGGATTATAGACTCAAGGCCAGCCTGGACAGTTTATCAAAACATCACATCACAGTTTTAGAAAGTTTCAAAAAGGGGGGCAGGGGGCCGGGGATTTAGCTCAGTGGCATAAGCGCCTGCCTAGCAAGGGTGACGTTGTGAGTTCGATCCCCCGTACCAAAAAAGTGGGAGCAGGCATGGTGGTAAATACCCGTAATCCCAGCACTGTGGGAGTCTGAGGCAAGAAGAGTTCAAGCTTGAGTCCAGTCTGGGCAACTTCGTGACTTAATGAGAGTGGGTCTTAAAATTGAGGGCTGGGACAGAGTTCAGGATAGAATCCCAGGATTCAATACTGCAAAACAAAATAGTGGGGCTGGAGAGGCCTGGGTATCATTTGCCAGCACTTAAGGGTGTGGGTAACCCATCAAAAGTAAAGATTGTTGATACACCAAAAAATATCTTCAAGGATTTGAAGATGCTCAATATATGTACTTATCAGGGAAATTCAGCTTAAAACTATCGTGAAATATCGCAACTCATAGAGATCATTATATTTCTCTTAGATTGGCTATAAAGTTAAAACATGACTATAGCAGGGTATGCAACAACTGAGATTCTTTCTTTCTTTCTTTCTTTCTTTTTTTTTTTTTTTGGTTTTTTGAGACAGGATTTCACTATGTAGCTCAGGCTGGCCTTGAACTCTCTTTGTAGTCCAGGCTGGCCTTGAATTTTCAGCAGTCCTCCTGCCTCAGCCCTGCTGAGTGTTGGGATTAGATGTGTGTGCTACCATGCCTGGCTGAAATTCTTATATTAATAGTAAGGTGTAAAATGATACAAGCACCAGATCAACAGTTGTAATCTCTACACTTTTTTTTTTTTTTTGGTCTTTTTCCTTTTTATTGGTACCAGGGATCGAACTCAAGACTGCCTGCTTGTAAAGCAGGCGCTTATGCCGCTGAGCTAAATCCCCAGCCCCTGTAATCTCTACACTTGATCTTAGCCAAAAGGCCGGGGAGCAATACCAGTGGTAATTTCTTTAGAAGTAAAATACCCACTTTCCATACCCATCTTGCTGTTTTCTGAAAAGAGACGAAAGCTTATGTTTATATAAAGACTTATATATGAATGTTCATAGTAACTTTATTTCTGATCACAGAAAACTGAAATCATCCTAAATGCCCAACAACAGATGAAAAAACAAGTTGTGATTATTTATATAAGGAAACGGTATTTGGCACAGAAAGAATGGAGTACTGGTAGCTACAACACGGATGAATTTCAAAAACATTTGCCAAGTAAAATATGTGCAGTGTAGAAAATGTATGGTTTTACTTATCTGAAAGTTTAAAATCAGACTTTATAACAGTGTAATTTTCTGGGGTTGCAGCTTGAAAGTTGGGATTCCTCAGAAGGACCCTGGTAAAACTCTGGGGGTAATGGAAGTGGCTTTTTTTTTTTTTTTTTTTTTTGTCTTTTTCATTTTTATCGGTACCAGGGATCGAACTCACGACCGCCTGCTTGCAAGGCAGGTGCTTATGCCGCTGAGCTAAATCCCCAGCCCCTTTTTTTGTTTTGTTTTAATATATTTATTAATTTTTGAGACAAGGTCTTGCTTTGTAGTTCAGGCTGGCCTTGAACTTGCAGCGATCCCTCTGCCTCAGCCTCCCAAGTACTGGGATTACAGGTCTTCACCTCCATACCAGGCTCAACGGAAATGTTTTTAAAATTGACTGTAGTGATGGTTACACAGGTGAATAAACTTGGCAGCTCCAATTGAAATGCTTCCTTGTAATGTGAGTCAGTTTTGAAAAAATAAAGGAGGCCCTTTAAGAAATCTGTATTTTTGCCTAGTCTTGGAAACTGTGAGATCCTAGCCTAGCCTTTGTGGGGGTTTTTGTTTTGTTTTTTAGCAGTGGCAAAGTTTATTTGAAAAAGTAAAAGTGAAGCATGGGGGGGGAGACAGTATGGGGGCTGGGGACCTAGCTCAGTGGCATAAGCACCTGCCTTGTAAGCAGGCAGTCGTGAGTTCAATCCCTGGTACGGATTAAAAAACTAATAATAAAAGTAAGAAAGAGTGAGGGAGAAACTGGCTCTGCAGAGTGAGCTTGGGCTAAGGAAAACAGGAAAAAGCAAGATCAAAGGACCCCCTGGAGAATGCAGGGCCGGTTATCAGGGCAGTTATCAGGGCGAAAGTCTGGGAGCTTGTGTGGCAGGCATCAAAGTGGTAGGATTAAACAGAAAGACTTGAAAGGCCTGGGTCCACTGCAGACTGTAAACAGAACACTGCACTGTTAGCACCATCAAAATGCTTAGAACCTGTTTTTTAGAGTGAACTGTTACATTGACTCACAGTTTCTTTTATTCTCTAAAAGTTACAGAAGAATTGTCTTCTCTCCTTAACCAATTCCAGAATTCTTATGGATGTGCCATTCGACAGGCAAGTATGAATAAAGCTTGCTCACTCACTCATTGGGCATCCTCCGATCCCTCCTCATGGCTTTTGGCTGTCAGCAGAGGCGTGATTAAGGCTAAGGTACGGGGAGAAGTCACTCCCTTGCGCCTCTTCCTCAGAGACGCGCTTGGAGGCAGTCTGGCTGCAGACGGCTTTCCTGTGTGATTCCAGTACTTGCTGTAAGTAAGGGCGTGTGCTCCAGAGTCACACCTGGACTCAGGTTCTAGCCCTTCCATTATCTTGGAGTGTAAGTTTCCCCATTTGTTTCCTTTCACGGTACTGTGAATTGAACCCAGGACCTTCTCACTGAGCTGCATCCTGGGCCCTTTTTGGTTTTTGAGACAGGTTCTGAGTCACTAAATTGCCAGGGTGGTCTCAAGCTTGTACTCCTCCTGCCTCAGCCTCCCAGAGTGCTGAGGTCACATGTGTGTGCCACCATGCTGACTAGTAGTGACTCTTAAGAGAATCACATGGGATGACTAGAAAGTATTTGCAATAGTGCCTATCTTAAGTATTGGTTTTCTAACAAATCTTAGCCATTTTAAAAATTTATTTTGACAGTAATTACTAACTTTAAAAATTATCCTATGCATTGTATAGGGATTCCTCTTGAGACATTTGTAATCTTGAGTGCCTCAGTTTAAGACATGTCTGCCAGTGCTGCACTAAGCACAGAAATGAAGCACAAACTGAGACTGAACCCCTTGTGTTGGCCATAGCTGAATTCGCTCTAGCTGAATGACATGTCTGGTGTTCCAGTGCTGTTTGCAGTTCAGATCACAAATTACTACTTCTGCGGCAACTCCCTCTCTTCTTCAGTCTCACTGTTACAAGAAATGAATGCTAATGGGGCTGGAGATTTAGCTCAGCGGCATAAGCACCTGCCTTGCAAGCAGGCGGTCATGAGTTCGATCCCCGGTACCGATAAAAAAAAAAAAAAGGAAAAAGAAATGAATGCTAAAATTTTGAAGTTTTCCTTGGATCTGTTGATCTTGTGTATTATGCTTGCTTTAAAATTAAAAAAAATTTTTTTCTTTTGCTGGGGATGGAGCCCAAGGCCTGGTATATGCTAGGCAAAGGCTCTCCCACTGAGCTACATCCCAACCTGGGCGCAGTGTCACACACTTCATGTAATTGTGGGTGAAATGAATTCTGCTTTTCAGGTTTAATGCTACCAGGTTTGTCTTAGGATGGCTGTACAGGTATGAGAACCCCAAGGTCCAGACCATGGTTGTGAGCATCGTCTCCATCCTTGCCCTGCAGGTGCGTGGCACTCAGGATGGCCATGGTTGGGGTTGCCATCTCCCTAGTCTGCCAGCTGGGACATTTCACCTGTGGCTTTTTGTTTGTTTTTAGCTGTCACGTGAGCAAGTCACACAGCTGCACGAAGACCTCTTCATGGCAGTGAAGGTGAGTTGAGTTGATAATTACTTTTTTTTTAAAAAATCAGTGATTTTGGGTTGGGGATTTAGCTCGCGGCATAAGCGCCTGCCTTGCAAATGCATGGTCGTGAGTTCGATCCCTGGTACCACTAAAAAAAAAAAAAACCAGTGATTTTAATTAATGCATTTGAAAAAAATTCTAAAAACCCCATTAAAATGAATAAGAATCACTGCCCTTAGGAAGTTCTATACCCTAATGCTGTTGACCACCACATTTCTTTTAAAAATGTTTATACTGCAGGGTTTTTTTATTTTACTAGTTTTGGGTATTACCAATTGATTTTGTTGTTACAGTAAATAAAAACTTAGCTGTCCTATATATAGTTTAAGTTTCTGTTTTCCTCATTCTTCAATAAATTTAGAGTACAGATGTATTTTATTTTATTTTGTATTGAGGATTGAACTCATGACCTCATGCTTGCTTGCCAGGCAAGTACTTATACCACTGAGCTAAATCTCCGACCTAAATTGCAAAATTTTTTTGTTGTTTGTTTGTATTTTTACCGGTACCAGGGATCGAACTCACAACCACAGGCTTGCAAGGCAGGCGCTTATGCCGCTGAGCTAAATCCCCAGCCCCTAAATTGCAAATTTTAATAAGTCAATAATATTATTTACATTAAGATCATGCCAACATTACTTACTAACAGATATACATTGTTTTATTTTTCAGTTCTTTTTAATTTAGAGGAATTTGAGTTGCCTTTTAAAATCTTTCAGGCTTGGAGATTGAACCCAGGGGTTTATGAGCTACAGGAGGCCACCCCGCACTCTTTTTCTCCTTCCGTCTCCGCTCGCACCATAAGGTCCTGCTGTGCTGCCTGAACAGCACACACACCGAGGGGACCTCAAACTCCAATCCTCCGGCTCCCAAATTGCTGAGATTGCGGGCGTGTGCCATCTGCTTGGCTTTTAAAGTCATTTGTATTTCGTGTTAACTATGTACCGTTTCTTTGGGGTCTTGATCTTTTTCTGATGGATAGTAGTTTTTTTTCCATGTTAAGGAAACGAGCTTTTTTCACTTTCATTTTGTGCAGTGCTGGGACTTTTAACCGAGAGGCTTAGACTTGCTGGGCGAGCATCTCTTGCTGCCGTCCAGCTGTCTCCCACCCTGCTTTTGACTTTTTGATGCATTCTGTTTTTCCTGTTTGCTGTTTATCTGTTATTACTTTGCTTATAGCATGTTTGGCAGTAATTTTTTCTGTGTTTGAAATTTTTTTATGTTTCTGGGATTAATGGCACACTTGGAAAAGTATTTTCTTGTTTTATAGAGCAGTTTTAAAAATTTTTATGTATTATTTTTATCTATGGCTTGCTTGCTTTCTTTCCTTCCCTGCTTCCCTTCCTGTCTCCCTTCTCTTTCCTTCCTTCCCTGCCTCCCCCTCCTCCTTTTCTCCCCCTCTCCCTCTCCCTTTCTTTGGTGGTCGTGCTGAGAACTGAACCCAGTGCCTGCTGTGGGAGACAACTCCAGTGACTCCCTTTGAATGTAAAACAATTACTGTGACTTTGATTATTTGGAGACTCATTTCCTTACACTGGTTTGTAAAAAGCTGGCTGGGTATTTCCTTCTCTCTTTAATTGGCTCTAAGCATTGTAAATAAGGCTAGCAGAGGTGATAATATGTAATCTCTAAAGCCAACCGACAATCCTGTTTCCTCACATAGTGTTCTCCATACAGTACAAAATGTGTACAGGATTTTAACACACAAGATGTTAGAGCCAGTAGTTCCGGGGATGTCAGCTGGGTGTGAGCCTCAAGGAAGAGGCCGGAGAGATCTTGTCTCTGTGGTGCAATGGGGTTAGCGCGTTCCTTCGTCTGTTAATTGAAAGAAAAGAGGCTGTGACTGCTCAGGGCACAAGAGTTTACATATCAAAAAGCAAAGGACAGCGTCCCAAAACAATTCCACTGCTACCCTAATTGGATTATGTAAATTGATCCTTCTGCACATCTTTATCTCTGCAATTTACAGAGATGCCATTCTTACACTTGGCCAGCCAGCTCAAGTTACTCACATAATTCCCTCCATCCTCACTGTCACTCATCCCTGAGCCACCCCCCTTCTCCACAAGATAATGAATTCTGGGAGAGGCCTAGGATCGAGGCCTTTGTCCGCATGTCCTCATGGGGATTGGCTGCCCTTAACTTTGAACATGTCTTGATGTCTTTAGTCTCGCCGTGGGTTGCATTGGTGGTGGTAGATTGGAATTAACTTGCTGGGATTCCAATGACGTCTCAGTGGGATTACAAATATAACCTTCTGGATTGTGAGGAAAACCAGAAGGAGGGTTACAATACTGGGATGACTGAACTCCATATTTGGGGTTATAGTACCTGCCACATGCCAGGCGAGTGTGCTGCCCCTCAGGTGCACCCCTAGCCCTCTTTCCCTTTTCAGTGTGTAAGTGTGAAAGGGTTTTGGCCCAGGCCGAACTCTGCAGCTGGTAAAGCCAAGGAGCTCCATCTCCCCCTCCCTTAGGAATCTACCTCTAGCGCCAAGACCAGTGGGCTACCTGTGCATCCCTAATGCCCCCTTGGGTTCCACCCCAGGCCGAGGCTACTTATGTGCCTCACTCCACGTGTTCCACAGAGAGATTGCCGGCCCGGGTGGAGATGCCACGCCCCAGGGGGTCGGGGGGGGGTGTCTCTCCCCGCGTTCTCAAAATAAAGGTCATTTGTATTTCATAATTCTTATCTTTTCAGCTGCTGCGGGTCCTCCTCCCCCCACAGTTCTACCAAAGTGGTGATTTAGATTCTTCTTTCTGAGATATAGGGGTCTGTGTTGGGCAGGATTCCTTTAGTTGGTCCGCGTGCCAGTGTGCCGGAAACAGCCACACGGTCTGTCCGCGTGCTTCAGTGCAGCCGGGCTCACACCAGTCACACTCTTCTCCGTATGTTTCCCTTGCCTCTACACTTTCACTGAAGTTTCCCTCTCTACTGTTACGCAGTTTTACCTTTATCATATATTAAATTTCCTTACATGTTTGCATCTGTTTTTGAACTTCATTGTTTTATTAAGTTACAACTAATTTCCAATTTTATAAATGCTTGGATATTTAAAATCTGTACTTTAGTTTCTTTCAGTTACCTGTTTTATATGTGCAACCATCAGACCTGGCTTGTCAAGTTCTAAAAAAAATTTTGTTATATTAAATTTGTAGGTTGACTTCAAAAAAACTACGATCCAATGATAGTGATTTTTTTTCTAAGAATAGGGCATGTTAGGGGCTGGGGATTTAGCTCAGTGGCATAAGCACCTGCCTTGCAAGCAGGTGGTCATGAGTTCGATCCCCGGTACCGATAAAAAAAAAAAAAAAGAATAGGGTATGTTATTCCATTTATGTAAGTTTCTTATATATCTCAGAAGAATATAGAACATTTTCTATTGGATATTTGTAACATTTGTTCCAAGACTTTTTTACCTTTTGCATTGGTGTTAGGAGTGGAATGTTTTGAATATTTGATATTCAACTAATAGGTTTATTCTGTTCCATTAGTTTGTATATCTGTTTTATAACAGGGCTAAAGTTGAGGATAAAAATAGGTGTAGAAACCAAGAGTGGCCGGGCGTGGTGGCTCACACCTGTAATCCCAGGAGCCTGACGTGAGAGGATCATGTGAGTTCGAGACCAGCCTGGGCTACAAAGTGAGCTCAAGGCCAGCCTCAACTGCATAGCAAGACCCCATCTCAAAAAAGACAAAAAAAGAAAGAAAGAAACCAAGAGTGATGTGGACCTGTCAGTTTCTGAGGTGCTTGAGATGTCAGGAAGGCAGTTTGAAATGTGGAATGAAGACTTGAATCTGACCAGACAGAAGTCGAGTCCTTAGATATTTTGCTGCTTTATTTTAGTGGTCTGGAGGGACAGACTCTGAGTACAGCAGGGTGATGGGTAAATGCAATGAGACGTGGAGGCAACTTTTTAAGTCTAGTTGAATGAGAAGGAAAGCAAAGAAATCTATGTAGTTTGTGTGTTTTTTAAGATGAATTATATCAAGACTTCTTGGTACTGAGGACTGAATGCAGGGCGTTCACACTGAGCTACATCACCAGCCCTTCTTATCTTTATGATGTGCTCTCTCAACACATTTGGTCCTTAGTAGGCAAAATATTTGAGGGAATCTCATTCTTTCTGATAATAAGCATATTCTGATGTCTGGTGCTGTTTTATTTTCTATGTCTTTTCACAAGCCTGTTCAGTGAAAATAGTTAGCTGTTTCCTGTCACATAACGCTGTTAATAGGCCTGAAAGAAGAAACTGTAAATGCCAGCTTAACTTGTCCAGACATAGTCTCATCTAAACTGAGATGCAGGCTCCGAGGAGTGAGCCAGAGCTGTCCCCAGGCCAGGCCACAAGCTGGACGCTGGCCCCGTGCGCAGTGCGGCCTTCCCTCCCGCCCTGTGCCCCCTTCCTTACCTGGCTGATGGAGTCTTGTTTCTTCATATTTAGTTACACATTACCTTCCCTCGCCCATCTTTTCTAAGTCCTTAAACTTTTATGGATTTCTTTCAGGACATTTGCCAAAACTTAAATTCATGTAGATGTGAAAAACCAACTTTTAATTTTGTTACTTGTTGGTTCTCTTTCTTACACAAATGAGTATCTGACTTACACATAGCAATGGCTGAATGTTCTCAGTCAAAAGTGGAAGAGGTAATATATATTTGACAGGAAGCGTGATCTTATCACCAGTCCAGAATTAAGTTAAGTGCTCAGTAAACTTCAACTAAATCTTTTTTTTCTAATTTCACATTGGAGATCAAACCCAGGGCTTCCTCAGACATGCTAGACAATTGCTGTACTGCTGAGCGTCACTCCTAGCCCCAAAACAGAAACTTTTGGGTATTTTTTTCTAGTTAATAATAAAAACCCTGAGCAGTAGGTATATTTTACTTTATAGAAAGAAAATAGATGACATAGTGTATGAAGTGACAGAACGTGGTTTTGGTGCCACAGCTCTTAACTTTTTTCCCCTTAAACTGCAAGTGAATCTGTCATGAGGATGTCTCGCTCCCTCTCTCTGGTTTTTAGGAACTTCTGGCAATAGTAAAACAAAAGACAGCTCAGAATGTAGATGACGCTGCGCTCTTGTTCTCTCTGAAAGCACTTTGGAACCTTACCGACGAGTCTCCTGCCACCTGCAAGCACTTTATGGAAAATCAGGGATTGGCCGTGGTCATCCAAGTCTTAGAGGTGGGAATATGTATGGGATTGGGTTCACATGTAAAATCCTTTCCTTTATGAGCTGGGAAGGGTGGCAATCCTATAATCCCAGCACTCGGAGAAGTTGAGGCAGGAGGATCACTGTGAGTTCAAGGCCAGCCTGAACTGCACAGCAAGACCCTGTCTCAGAAAAACAAAAATTCTTCCCTTCGTGAAAAAGTAACCCATGTATTCTTTTGACAGACTTTTTCAGAGTCCACAATACAAAGCAAAGTACTTGGTCTTTTGGTAAGGTGAACTATTTTGAATTAATTTTAATTACTTGTAAAAAACTAACAGTTATGTAGTACCTACCATGTCTTAGGCACTTTGGGAAGCAATTTACACGTAAACCCTCATTTAATCTTCACATTATCTCTATAATACCACTGTACACCAATCAGTGATAAACCAGATGAATCAGTGGAGTACGCTACAGCTTAGTGGCTTAAAACAGCCTTCTATTCTCCCCGTGGAGCTGCAGTGTCATGGATCGCGACCATGACACTGAAAGTTGGAGGTTGTAAATGCATGCTTTTGAAGTCACTGAGTTTGTGGCAGTTTGTTACACAGAAGACTAATGCATACATAAGGAAAATAGGCCTCGCCTCTCATTGTGATTGTTAAACTTCAGGATAACAGAACACTGATGAGGCCCACCACTGACAAGCCCCCTAGTACACTAAAGTTAAGTATTTGACTTGGGCCTAGCAGGTATTAGCGATGTGAACCTGACAAACTAGTTATACTGCAAGAAGTCAAGTTTCTCTGTAGGTTATTTTAAAGATAAAATGAGAGGTAAAGCAGATTTAAAAACCATCTTTATTTTACTGCTGTGCCTGGCACTTAGTAAGAGCTCAGTCCTGAATTGGTTGTTAGCGGCATGGTGGGCTGAGGGATGGTGGGGGGTTTAGGCTAAGGGCGAGGGGAGGAAGTGTGGGAATGTGTCTGAGCTGAGTAGCAGGAAAGAGGATCGCAAATGCTTGATTCTTCTTCCTCCCTGCCCTGATGCCTCTGCATCTGTCTGGTGGCTGCAGAGCAACGTGGCTGAAGTCCAAGAGCTCTCCTCCAAGCTGCTGACGGAAGATGTCCTGAAGCACATCCGCACTTTACTCCACAGCAAGCAAATAGAAGTGAGCTACTTTGCTGCGGGTATAATAGCCCACCTGACGTGTGAGAAGCAGCCCTGGCCGTTCTGTGCCCCACAGAGGAGTGCTCTTCTCCAGGACTTGGTACAGGAACCATTCTTTTTCACAAAACCTAGTGTAATCTGTTCCTGCAGAAGATTTATTTTTCCAGATCACAAGAGTTCTACAAGTCATGTGATCATTATAAAAATGAGGGAGCTGTAAAGAAGAAAATTATGTCGCCCAGCCTCATGCCACCTGAAGCTAACCTTTGTTAACATGGGGTTGTGTTGCCTCTTATGCATGGCATATTCTAATCCTCTTTTCTACTTTCAACTCTTTCTAAAACTATAAATAACATACTTTAGTCTTGACCGTAGCTCTAGGCATCATCAGTTAGTTTTTCCGTACTGGGGTAATTGTGTCACTGTCCCTGTGTCCCTCTGTGTACCCCTCCTGTGCTCCAGCTGTACGTGTGTGAGCACATTCAAGCATATTCACTTCACCTGCCCAGCCTGAGTCCTCAGCCTCCCTCCCGTTTGGTTTGCCTGTTGCTGTATCTGCTGTATCTGTCATCATCCTTCCTAGGATATTCCTTCCCCACCATCCTGCTTCCTGAGGAGGTCGTGGAGAGTAAGGTCAGAAAGCCCGGGTATCAAATTGTAGCCAACAGAACGTTTCAGTCTGTGCTCTGTTCTTAGACTCAGGGTCTCTTGAAGGTCCATAATGTGTAGAAATCACAGTGATTTGTCTTCATCTGGGTTTATTTGCATATGTTCTATTGAGTACTTAACCACTGTGAAAGGTGGTCTCCTTCTGTTCTGGGTTTTGGGGGCGGCAGGGAGGGGATGTGCCCGGGTTTGAACCCACAGCTCAGCACATGTGGACAAGTGCTCTACTATTGAGCCTGCATCCTTGCCTTGATTTCTTACTTATTTTAGATACCTTTGCTTTGTTTTCTTTTTCCAGGAGGTTAACCTCATTTTTTTTTTCCTGATCATTTTGGAGAATTGCCATTTCTGTTGGATTTTGCATTTCTGCTGTTGTAAGAACTCCTTTTTGTTGAGTGCTTTTCTTTCCTCCCTTCCTTCCCCTCCCCTCGCTTCACCTTGCTTTGCTTTATAAAGCAAGTAAGGGTGAGCTCGTTAGGCCTTACTAGCTGTATTGAAATTGTATACAACTTTATCTTTTATTTGGGGTGCCAGGGGTTAAACCCAGGGCCACTTCAGCCCTTTTCTGAGGGCTTTTAAAATACTATTCTGTCTTAAAAGATACTGATAGTTTTCAAGTTTTCCAAAGTGTCTATTTGCTGCATGTTTCTCTCTTTTCATATTTTATTCATATTCCAAAAGTGTGTGCTGGTACTTTGTCAGTCATTTCCTGCCTTCTGTGAGTTCTCCTGCCGTGGGCTGAGTACCTGTCCTCTGTCATCCCTCCCCATGCTGCCCTGGAGCCAGCCAACCCAGCCTGAAATGGAATCACGAACCCAGTACACTTCTGGTCATTGTCTGTTATGACCTTTTGGAAGCCTTGTGCAGATGAGTGGACCTATAGTTATGGGCATCACTGTGCAGGGATATGGCTTATGTATCCTTCAGCATCAGTGACTAGCTGTTTTGTCTTAAACTTGTTGAAACCTACCTGGAGAAGTCTCCGTTCTCTGGCATGAAAGTGTCTGCTTGACCGCCATTCATCTGAAAGCCCCTGTATTAGCCCCTTTGCTGTGGCTGGACGTTTAAGGAAAGGGGGTGTATTGGGCTCGTGATTTCAGAAGGGGACAGCAGAGGAAGCTGCTCAACCCATGGCAGGAGAAACCGAGAAGGCAGGACGCAGGGACAGAAACACACCCTTCCAGCTCTCAACTCTGAGGACCCACTTCCTCCCAGTGACGCCCCACCAGCTCACCAGTGAATTAACCACCAATGACTATCAGACCCCAGATCAAGTCATCTTTCAAAGCCCTGCTGTGAACACGTGAGCCTGGGGCGTCGATAGGGCACTTTAGACCTAAGCTATTGACGAAAGAGAGCTGGGGACAGGAGAGACTCAATATTTGGGATGTAGATTTTTGGTTCTATCCCTTTTTAGCCTAATATCCCACTATAATTATTTGTGGGGTTGCCTAGTCCAGAAGTTTCTGTTATGGATAGGAGAGGAGGTAATACAGGTTTTGATTCATTAATCCTCTCAACTAAACTCCTGTTTAGCCGAAAAGTTATGTGCCAGATTTTTAATCCTCTCAGGATTCTGTTCTTTGTTCTCCGTGGTCAGCTTTCTTCTGTCTGAAATCATTTTACTACACTATTCTGTAATGGGATACAAGGAAAGAGAAAAGATAAACGCATGCTCTGTTTACTGCCTTCAAAAAACCTGCCTTGTTACATTTTTCTACTTTGTTCATATATTCTGCATATAAAATGGGTAATTGATAATTGGTTGTAAGTAGACTTGTTTAATCATCCCCATAATTTGAGGAGTTATGTTGATTCAGGTATGTGTGGTTATAAGCGACATGGACACAAGTAGTCTGTGATGAACTTTGTGGTGAACTTTTCTACACTGCCGAATAGAATTCTGAATTCTTGGTTTCTTCTCCTTTCTGTCTTTTGGAGTATAGCATGCAACCATCCAGAAGTGGCCAAGCTCAACATGTAAGATGTCAGCACTGGTGACCTACAGGTAATTTTATTATGATGTAGTGCTTTTCTTAAAGCTTGTCTTTGATGTACTTGATATAGTGATCAAGTATTAGGTGTCACTCAGCCTCATGTTAAAATCCTGTGTTTTGTGATACTGTGAAAATCACTTCTAGAGAAACTATGAGACCCGGGTTTCCTCAGCTGTGAAATGAAGCTGAGACTGTGCGGGATGGAGGGGAAATGAGATACTGTGTATAGAGGGTCCGATGCGGAATGTAGTCAGCTACATGAGCACCTGCTCTTAGCTGCATCACAGCTCTGCCCTGGTGAGGAACTGACCCTGTGCGGGGAATGGTGAAATTTACTTTTCTCTTCCTGAGTTCTGAATTAATACCTTTTTATGTTTTTAGATCCTTCAAGGCATTTTTCCCGCTCCTTGGCAACTTCTCTCAACCCGTGGCTCAGCTCTGGGCGCTGTGGGCTGTGTATCATGTCTGCAGTAAAAATCGTATGTGTTCAGTATGTAGTTACAATAGTAATTTCCCAGCTATTTTTCTGAATAATGAATGAGTTTTCAAAAGCTGTCTACCTATATTCTCCAAATATCATTCTGTTCTTTGGTGAACTTAACTTTTTAAATGTGAACTTAACTCTTTTTATACTAGAAAGCCCAATAGGCACCTTTTGAGAATTAGAGACTTATTTAGCATAAACTACATAGCATATTGACTATATATAAAGTATAAAACAATAGTGATTTGTTGTTTTGTTTCTTTGAGACAAAGTCTTACTATAAGCCCAGACTGGCCTTAGTTAAATTTATTATATATCCCAGGCTGGCTTCAAACTCATAGTAATCCTCCGGCCTGAGCTTTTAAGTGCTGGGATTACAGATATGTGACCCCACCCATCTCCACCTGTTTTCTATTTTTATTTTTATTTTTATTTTTGTTTTGTTTTTGGTACCGACGGTCAAACTCAGAACCTTGTGCTTGCCAAGCAGGTGCTTACACCGCTGAACAATATCCCTGGCCCCTACTTGTTTCTAATATCAGCAAAAACTTGAAAATTAAGGGAAAAGATGCATTTCATGTTATCAACAAAACATAAAACATCTAAAAACAACTTTAATGAATAACAAGAAACTGGGCATGCTTTGGAGCCTGAGGCAGGGGGATCACAAGTTCAGGACCAGCCTGGGCAACCTAGTGAGATGCTGCCCTGACATAAAATAAAAAGCTTAGGGTTGCAGCTTTGTGTTACAGTGCTTACTTAGCATGCCCAGAGCACTGGGTCAATCCTAAACCATTAAAAATCACAGGACCTATGTAGGAATTTATAAGAGATCATGTAATAAAATGAAGTACTTATGAGATAGCTATCCCATGCCCCGAAGATGGAAAGACTTACTGAGTGTCGTTTTTAGAATTCTTCATGGGTATGGTACAACTCAAGTGAATGGAGAAGCATTATGTGGGACTGAAAATGATTCTAACATTCATTTCACAGAATAAACAGTAGAAAACCTAACAAAGAAAAATCGTTTCTAAGAATTTGCACTGGCATTCCGTTAACATTCCGTTACTGAGAATGGCACAGACAAGGAAGCATTGGATCAGAACTGACTCTGAAACAGACTAATTTTTCCTTCTCCTCCCGTTTCTTTCCCTTTCTTCTTTGGTGTGGTACAGGAAATCGAATCCTTACTAGGCAAGTGCTCTCACACTGAGCTACATCTCAGCCCTGGTATTTTCAGTTGTAACAGTGGTAACAACTAGAACTTAGTTGAATATTTACTGGATGCCAGGCAATAATGGAAGCACTTGAGTTAGCTCATTTAAAAGAGGGCAGCATTATCATCGTCATCGTCATTTATGAGAAGCACAGGGAATCACTTGCCCGAGTTTACAATGGCTAGCAGCTGTCACAGACAAGACTCTAACCCAGGGACCCACAGTGAGCACCACTTATTGCTCAGGGCTTTTTCACTATATAAGCAGATCAGATTATGAAATATCTTAGGTGTTGTGTCCAATCTTAGTCCTGTTACAAACTTGGTTTAAATAAAAAGTAAGACACATATAAACAGAAAAAGATACACAGGTAGTAGCAGCGTCGTAATGAACACAGTTGACCCCAGAAGCAGATGACCTATGCTGAGGCCTGGGTTATGTCATTTGCTAATTGTCTACTTGAGGGGCTGGGGATTTAGCTCAGCGGCATAAGCACCTGCCTTGCAAGCAGGCGGTCGTGAGTTTGATCCCTGGTACCGATTAAAAAAAAAATTGTCTGCTTGAGCAGATAGCTGAGCTTCTCTGTGCTTCCATTTCCTCAGCTATAAAATGGACATAGCGGTACCTACCTGGTATGGGTTTATGACAGTTAAGTTGATTAATACTTGTGAAGAATTTAGAACGGTGCTAATACAGTAGTATTTAGACATAGCATAGTATTAACAGTAGCATGTGCATAGTGTTTGTTAAATAAGATACAAAATTTTGCAGTCATGTAAGTTAATCTAGAATTCTTGGAAAATTGCTGAGTCAAAGTTATAAATGTTTGTAATTTAGATAGACATTGTTAAATTGTCCTTCAGAAAGTTGATTGCCTGTATATTAATTCCTGTTAGTAACACCTAAGACCCCTGCCTCATTCTGGGCTCAAACCCAGGGCTTTCTGTGTACTGTGTAAGCACTCTGCCCACAAGCTGTATTTCAGCCTTTCTTTTGTTTTTTTTTGGTTTTTTGCCTTTTTCCTTTTTATCGGAACCGGGGATCGAACTCACGACTGCCTGCTTGCAAGGCAGGCGCTTATGCCGCAGAGCTAAACCTCCAGCCCATATTCCAGCCTTTTTAAACTGTGAGACAGGATAACTCACTAAGGTGTGGGGGCTGGTCTTGGACTTGTGATGTTCCTGCTTTAGCTTCCTGAATTGGTAGGCGTATCACTGACTGTAGGTATCTCTTGACTGTAGATATACATCAGAATCTTTGATGTGGGCTGGAGGTTTAGCTCAGCGGCGTAAGCGCCTGCCTTGCAAGCAGGCAGTCGTGAGTTAGATCCCTGGTACCGATAAAAAGGAAAAAGACAAAAAAAAAAAAAAAGAATCTTTGATGTATTCTTAAAAGTCTCTTTAACTGAAATACAATGGAAGTCCCTCCCTCCACTCTTTCTATTAAATAATAGCATGATTGGGTATAACGCTTTAGGGTAAGAGTTATTTTCTGTCAGCATGTGGGAGAAAAAAATATTTCTGTAGCTTAACTATAGCTGACCTGAACATGAAAATATTTTTATGTTGCTTAATACTTTTGGTTCCTGATTTAAGAATTCAGAAAGAAGGCTTCATTTTCTCTGTTCTTTCCTTGTGGAACTTCTATCAGATATGTGTCATCTTGGCTGCTTTTTCCAATCTGCTAGTCCTTAGTGGAGTGCAATGGGGCATGTGAATAATCCCAGCACTGACAGGCTGAAGCAGGACGGTTGTAAATTTGAGTCCCACCTAGACAACCTAGACCCTGTCTGAAAATAAAAAAGGGCTGGGGAAGCAGTTCATTGATGTCATACCTCTAGCTTCAATTCCCTGTACCACAAAACACAAAAGAAGAAAACACCAGGTCCTATCCTTTATTTCCTTAAAGTAATTATTTTGTTGTGGTAATGCATGCCTGTAATCCCAGCACTTAGAAGGCTGTGGCAGGAGTACCGTGAATTCAGGGTAGCCTGTACCACACAGTGAGATCCTGCCTCCAAAAGAAGTAATTATTTACACACACACACACACACACACACCCTGCCCTTCCCCTGATACAGTTGAGACTGTCTCATTATGCTGGGGCTACCTTCGAACTGTCAATTCTTTTGCCTTGGTCTCTCATGTAACTGGGATTACAAGTGTGTGTCACCAGGCCTGACTCTAATCTACTTATTTTGGCTTAAATTACATTTTCCCTGTGTAATCTTTCTTCTTATGAGCTCTCCTTTAACAAGTTTTATTTTCTGGTGAAAATCTATTTTAGGCTCAATTTAGGCCCTTCAGCAATTTCGTATTTGCTTCTGTGAAGTACCCCGAGGGGTTAGACTGATTTTCATATTAATTTCCTTTATTTACTTACTTTGTGGTCCTTGGGGTTGCACATAGGGCCTTCACACTGAACTGCCCCTTGGCCCTTTCTTTATATTTTGGGCTGGAGTCTTGCCAAAGTACCGAGGGATGAAGGTGTTGGAGCAGACTGGGTTTGGGATAGCTCAGTGCATGTGCGATGCCCTGCATTTAAGAGTGGTCTGGAAGTTAACATGAAAATGATCATCTGTTTTCTCACCCTACCAGCCAAGCATTTCTTAAGTTTTGACAAATATCTCTGGAATCAACTAATTTTGCTTGTTAATTCCTCAAAGAGCTAAAGCTTTTGTAGTTTTTCTTTGTAAAGGGAGATCTGCTGACCTGGGAATATTCAAAATGCCGCTTGTCTTTGTTTTTCTTTCAGCCAGCGTGTACTGCAGGATGTTGGGTGAAGAAGGAGGACTGCGGCTTCTGTGTGATATCCAGGCGCATGGTCAGGCGAACCCGCAGGTACAGCAGCTCGCGGTGTCCATCCTAGAGGACTTCAGGATGCATTTCACCAGCTACCGGATACACCGTGTTGAGTGCTCTTCCTGCACCTAAGGGGCACTAGAGATGAACTCGGTTGCCCAGTAGCAGGCTTCCGCCCTGTTGGTAATTCAGTGTTGAAGCCAGGTGTGAGTTGGCTGTCTCATTAGCCTTTTGTTGATTATTATTATTATTATTACTATTATTTTTGGTTAAGTTATAAAAGCGTTGGATTTGTATGCTAGCCATAACCCCAGGTCAAGGTGGAATCCTCTTGGGGACGCACCCTCAGCAGTAGTTTGGAACAAATCAAGCCAGAGACTCCAAGAAGACCTGGGAGCTGGTGTTGGAAGAGCTGGGCTAGTTTCCTCTGGCCTTGGACAGTTTCTCCGCGTGAGAGAGGAGCTTGTCAGATGCACAGGACTTGTGTACCCAGAAGAGAAACCAAAGCTGTAGGGAAATTTCAGTGGTTCTGTTTGGTTTCTTCAGCTGTTCCTGGTTATATGAGACTGCCAGAAAATATGCTCATAGATTTTATTTGGAATGCAAAACTTCTGTTGGAAAATAAAATTTATTTTTTACAGATGCCAAATATTTTCCATTTGAGAGTTGGGAAAATGTTTAACACAGTCTTAATGTTCTGTCTGTACCTTTTCTCCTGCAACTTGATTAATTAGCCCAAGTGAATGTGACAGTCTGGGGACCCAGAACAGTGGAGGGAGGATTATACAGAGATGGTCTCATTGCTTCATGCTCTGCTGTAATTTGGGGGGCATATGGCCAACATGGGAGGAAGAGAATGCCAGACATTTCATGGGGTGCTTTTACCCAATATGGAGGACAAAAGGGGTAACTTTTCTGAGAACCAGTCTCAACTACATAATAAACTTATCAGATGCTTTAAGGACCTAAAAGTCCTGACTGATTATTAGCATGTCTAAGGAGTAGTCTTGTGTTTTTAGCTGGCTTGGTCCAGAATATTTATTTATTTATTTATTTTGAGATAATGTGTCATGGTAACCCAGGCTGGCCTCAGACTTGTAACCCTCCTGCCTCTGCCTCCCAAATTCTGGAATTATGGGCATGCACCACCACATCAGACAGGTCCAGACACTTAACTGGAGTATCATGTGTCATCGTGGGAATCAGGTGAGGAAGAAACTCATCCTTAGTTAATCTAAACCATGTTCTACACTATTCCTTACCATTGTCTTTGTAGATAAGCAAGTCTTCCTATAGTCCCCAAACTAAACTGTCTTTTCTCACATTCATTCTGTAAGATTATAAAAAAGATCTGTCTCTGAGCTCCCAGCCTGGACTCCAGACCCTGAGAACACTGTATAACCAGATACTAACCTGTACTGTTGTAAGGATGTGTTGTAGGAATCAGTGTCTACTGCACCCCGGCTCTTAAAGCAGGTTTCCCTTCAGATTTTTTCTATTCACAACAGTCCTCCCAAGATTTTATTCTCTCTGCTTAACCAGATGAGAAAAAGGAAGTCCAGTAAGATCGACTTTCTGGAATGGTCACCGCAGTGAAGATGCATTGTGACTCGAAGGCCTGGACTCCTCTTTCATTCCTCTCAGGATACACATGTGATCTTGGCATCATTATAGTGCAAAACGGCACTAATACTGGTGTGTATCAGTGCCTATGCTCAGGACGCTCAGCCAGGGCTCATACCCTGCAAGCAGATGACCATAGCACAGCTTTGGTAAAGGGACAGGTCTTGAGCCTAGTGTGGATCTGTGAATACCAGGCCTCCCCAGGTCTTGTTATTGTCTAAGGACTTCATCCCCTTGTTCACCTTTGTTCACACCAATCCCGAACCTTATTCCAACGCGCCAGGCAAGCTGAGGTTCCAGTGTTGCCTGCTTATTTCCCAACCTCTCTTCCCTCCATTAAAGTTACTTGCTACTGGGTGGAGTGGTGCACACCTGAAATCCCAGTTACTTAGGAGGCTGAGGCAGGATTGCAGCCTCAAGCTCAGCCTGGAAACTCAGACTGTGTCTCAAATTAGAAAGGGCTAGCGATGCAGATTCAGTCCTCCGTGGTGGGAAAAAATTGCTGTCTTTGTACTCCTGAAGGCCAGTGGAGATCTACTGCCACCTTCCAGGTCATAGGCAGTGATCACAGTGATTTCATTGATCCTCACAGGACACTGGAAGTTAATAGTTACAACATGTTTATTGAAAGTGAGAGCTTAAAAATCTTCACAGAGATTCATGGTGCAGATAACAAAGGTGAAGCCTGTAGAGGTTAGCAGGTTTCAAGGTTATACAGCATACAGTAACTAGACCCGAAGGTCCAAGTTCTGATACTGGCTCAATTAGTGCCAGACTGACTGAATCTCTCTTGTCCAAAGGAAGAAACAAGGAGCTTTTTACAGCCTCTTGCTGTCCCTCGTGAAAGCACATCGGTGAAGAGGCCAGAGCCAGGGCCTGAGAGCCACCCACCCAGAGACAGGGCTGCTTTAACCTGGAGTTTTATCGTTTACATCGGGAGAACCAAGCATTCTCCAAAGCAAGCCAGCACCAGTGACTCTCTACGTAGGGTAGGAGCAAGGAAGGCAGCCGTGACCATATGGGCAGCGCCTTCGTACCAGGTCATTCATTTCGTATCTGTCACTTCCTTGTGAAGAAACTGAAGGCCAGCGAGGTGCTGGGATGAGCGCCCGTGGGCGAGGTCACTTGCCCACGAACTTCGGGGGCCGCTTCTCCCTGAAGGCTGCCATGCCCTCCAGCCGGTCCCGGGTGGGGATGTTCTGTAACCATGTGCCAGATACAAGTTAAGGAGCAGCAGGGAGAGCGGCCACAAGCCCGGCTGCTCCAGCTTCCCAAGCCCATGCCGAAGCCAGGGCCCTGGGTTCTGTCTAGGCCGTGCAGGGTCAGAGGCCTCAGAGCTGTTCCTTGCTCTCCTGGAGGAGGCAGGGCACCCTCGGGCCCCTGTGCCCCATCACCCCTGGCCTTTCCTTGCACCCTGTTTTGCCTCCAGAGAGCTCATGTTCTATAGCAGTTGGGTGGGCACCTGCTCAGTAGAGCTCAAACTGCAGCAAGAAACTTGGCTTTGAATCCAGCAGCATAGTCCTCAGTAGGTCTGTGAGCCCCAAGCCCTTTACTGTCAGGAGTGTTGAGGATATTTACTACCTGGGGTTAGTATTGTTTTTTTACTCACTGAGAGTTGGGCCAGCCTCAGGTGTGCAGCCCTCAGTTGGGTACCACCTGTAGATCACACCTAGCCCCTGACATCGCACGGCTGCCCAGCCCTGCAGTGTTGGCTGGCAGGGACAGCAGAAGCTGTCCTGTCAGGTGCTGGTGCCATTTCCTGCAAGTCTGGTCACTAAGTGGGGCGGGATGAGCTGCTGTTTAATCAGGAAACACTCTCAGGGATGTGTTCCCCTGCGCCATACCAGGCTCGTTAGGAGGGATGGCAGGGCCTAAAGTCAAACTTGGGGCTGAGAGGACCCTTCCCAGTGGGTCACACACTGCTAACAAGTGTGCAGGGGCCAGCAGCAGCCACATACCTGGGCATAGCACATCTCTTCAATGGCCATTCCTGATGCAATGTCCACCTGCAAGAAGGAAGTGCCCCCTGGTCAGATCTTGTGCACCCAGCCCCATTCCTGTGCTCAGCTCTGACTGACAAGCAGCCTGCCATCTGGAGAGGAACACCACTCACAACCATGACAAGAAGGCACAGGGGAGTGGGGGCACACTGCTGGCTCAAGCCCGTGTCACTCCCTCCCCACTGGTTCCTCCCCTCGCCTCCTGCCACTCGGGATAGCTGCAGGCCTTGGGGGTCTGGCACTTTCTCCAGCCTCTGCTGCTCGAACTTCACTGCTCCCACACCTGTAAGTACTGTGGGTATAAACTCACTTTCATAGGGTCGTGAGCCCTGCTACACGCCTGAGAAACTCAGCCAAACCTCAGGCAGAAGAGCAGCTCCAGCCTTTTGGCTGCCTGCTCACACTCCCTGGTGCCTTTGCTCTGACTTCTGGCTTTTCTCTGGAATTCTTCCCATTCCTAGGGCCTGGCCCTGGAAACATTTAACCCCGCACTTCCCTGTACAGAGGCCTCAGGGGGCTGCAGGTGGCGAGGGAGCTGAATACTCCTAATGGGCTTTTCTCAAGCTTAACAGTGGGCTCAGCTCTCACTGCTGAGGCATCTGCTTGGTACCCTCAAGTCCCTTCCATCAGCAGTTGGAGTGTGTCACTCCCTGCCTGCCGTGACTTGTGTCCCAGTTCCCAGCACAGGTCCAGGGTCAGCGTGTGAAGGAGAAGTCCACAGGCAGATCAGCTGCAACACAGCGTAAGCCCGGCCCTTTGCTTGAGACCAACCCAAGCTGAGAGCGTTGACTAGGACCACACAGACCCTGGTTCTTTCTGTTCACTTTCTGACTTCGGGCAAGTAATCTGTCTGATGAACCTCACTTCCCTCTGCACAGTGCAGAGAAGAAGACAGAATGTCATCAGGACATTCAACGTCACATTTACCACTTCGAGAAAGTAAACAGACACACAGGGAGGGAGCTGATGTAAAACGTGTGGATAAGCTCAGTTTCTGAGGTTTTTTTCCATCTCTGCTGTCCGAGAGCCAGGAACTGCTGCCTTTTGTGTGGACCCAGGCTCTGTGCCAGGAAACTCACCTCCATCCCTCGGTCGATGGCTACTTTGCCCAGCCGCACAGCAATGGGGGCCTGGGGAAAAGAGAACCTGTGCTTACTGAGTGGCTCAGCACTGAGATTTGCGCTACAAAAAGGCACAGCTCTGCTGGGCTGAGTTAGTTCTGACCCCAGCTATTCCGGTACATTGTATTTCCTAAATTTAATCATCCTGCCTCTGGTCAAGCTGCTTTTTCAGGTACAGTAAAGGAAGTAGACCCTGACCCCAGCCCTCCTGGTCCTTGGAAGCTGGGGCGCTTCCTTCCAGTGCTTACCATTCCGGAGGCTCTCTGAGCACCCTTTCCCAGCAGCTCGCTGAAGGGCGTGCTTGCCCTCCAGGTATCCACGGGAGACGTGAAATTGAGCTCGGGAGTAAAGAACTTAGCTGCATTCCCTGTTACCTTTCTCCTGGCTGGCTCGCTTCCTTCCCCACCTCCCACTCGGCAAATGCAGCCCTCTACTGATTTTTTTTTTTGTATTTTCACTATGTCATTCTCACACCTCTATTGTTTGATTTACTTGCCATGAATATATATTGTTACTTAAGTACCCAAGTAAATTAACTTTTTCACTTAAGAGAGTAAAAACGATGTGTGTGAACATATGTACCTGTGTGGATGTGTATGTATCTTAAAAAAGAATTCCTAGAAATAGTTATTTTGAAATGAGACTATGGCTCACTCTAGACATGGCATGTTCCATTTCTTTCATAGAGAATACACAACTGAAACCCCTAACTAATGCTACTGTATATTTACTGTTTAAAGGAGAAACCTGATTTAATATGTGGACCTTTCTCGCCCATGACCTACTGGTGGGTTTTTTCTAGTGAGTTAACTTTCCGGCCATTTGGCTCTCGCCTCTGAGCTTTGTCCACTAGGTGGCAGCCGTGTGTCACGCCAAGCCTAACCTGGAAACCTTTCATTCGCGATTCCCAAGTTGGTTTTTAAAAAGGCTACAACAGTCTACACAGAAGGTGTCAGGTGTGAGATTCGTATCTGTGGTTCCTAATTTGTAGAAGACTTATGTTTTGGTATGTGAGCTCCTTTCAAGTACTGAAATAACACATATTGTACTTGTATTAGTTGAATGCCATTAACCTGGAACATTTGGAAACAAATCATCCTGAGATTCTGTTACCCAGTTTATATCAAAAGGCAAACTGAACCCGGTCTCCAGGTGCAGCTAGACCGCTCCCTGGGGAAGCTACTGTCTGGCGCTCCCTCGGGTCATTCTGGCTTCTTTTGTGCATTCAGAGGCTCTGAATGCAGAAAGCTGAGGGCTTCAAGACCGCTGGGAAGGGCACTGAGTCTCCACTTAGGTAGAGTGAACCCCTCCACCCTGCCTGGAAAAACATGTAGGGCTTAAACCCCAGGACTGTGCTGAGCCACGTGCCCAATGCTTGTTTTAAATTTTTTCTTCTTTCTTTTCAGAAAGGTGTCCCTAAACTGCCTTGCCATCCTAATCTCAGCCTCCTAGAAGGAGGAGGATTCCCAGGCATGTGCCAGGGTGCCTAGCTATCTTTATGCTGTTATGGTTGATACATTGTATCAACTTGAGAAGTTGAGAAGTTTAACTGAGCCATCAGCAGGCTGCCAGGATGCTCACTTTGTAGTTCTGAGCCTATGCAAGAGGACGCAGGGAGGTGGTTTAAGCGCTACACCTGCGCAGGGCTGGGGGGGGACCTTACAATCTGGGAGAAGAGCTTGCTCCCCGCCCACACTTCGCTCTTGCCATCTGTTGCCGCCTTGAACTGCTGTCCCTGTGCCATGTGCCTCCCTGCTTTGGAGCCAGCCAATTAGACTGAAACCTCCACAAACTGAACTAAACAAACCTTAATTTGGGTGTTGGGTATTTCGTCCTCAGTCCGCAGTGAGACAGAAGTAACTAAGGCATGTTAATATGGATACAGCACAGTCCGAAGGCCGCGGTGTGCTGTGTGCAGGCTGCACCTCTGTCCCTCGGCAGAGCCCCTTTCTCTTCCTACCGTTAGTGATCCTTTGCTGCCATTCGAGCTTGTGTCAGTTCTTTGCTCAGGACAGAAAGAACCTAGAAACCACCTCTTGGAAGGACACTCCCACACCTCAGAACTTGGTAACACTTCTTCCTTTGAAGGCCCCAGCTTTTCGAGGTCACGTCATGAGCTGTTTCTCCTCTGTGAAGCCCCTCTGCCGTCCACCTTGCCGCGGAGCCAGCCGACTATGAACTGAAACCTCCGTGATCTGTGAGCTAAAGAAACCTCTCTTTCTGTGACCTTGATAAGCAAAAGTCCCTAACTTTTCTGGGTCTGTCTTCTCACAAATGAAAGGATCTTCATTTCAGCTCAGCTGCCTTGTGCCAGTACCTGAGGTATACGGACAGCGGCTGACAGAGAGGAGGTTCTAACTCCATTTCTCCTGCTCTTACATCTTCACAGAAGCTCACGACCTCCCCACCTCTCAGGTCTCGCTGCTCTGTGCCCTTTAATGAGAAGCTGGCAGAGCACCTCAGGCTCTTGGAGAAGATCCTGCATGACTCAGGGGCTTCGAGCCCTGCAGCTCGAAGGGTTGGTCCTGGGCAGTGTCCTAAATCTGTTCCGTCAGGACAGCCCCTCCCTCACACATCCAGGAACCACGCTAGTCCAGCCGGTCTTAACTATGTAGCCGGAGCTGGCCTGAAACTCAAGAGTTCTCTGCCTCAGCCTCCTGAGTGCTGGGATTACAGGCATGTGTCCCTGTGCCTGCTGGCTATGGAGACCAATTCTAAACCTTTAGGGAAACTATCCCCAGAGACTAGTAGAGCTGTTCTGTTGATGTTGGTTTTGGTGGTGCTGGGACCACCCTAAACCTAGGGTTTCACACTTGGTAGGCGAACACTCACTGCTGGGCTCTATCCCAAGCCCCTTGAGGATTTTTAAAAATTAGCAAGTCTTTGATACATGTCCCGCAAGATGTTTGAAAAGTTCACCAGGAAAGATGGGCCGGTCACTGTCCACTTTAGGCTCTCACCTTTTCCATCTTTAGGGACACTTAAAGGCTGTACTGTACAGAACAGCAGTTGCCAGCCACACGTGGCTGTTAGTAGCATTTGTAGCCAGTGTAATGAGGGGCTCATTTTTACCTAATGTACTTAAAAGGTCCTGTACCGTGCCACACAGCAGAGAGGCGGTGGTGTCATCCCCTCAGGAGGTCACTGGACAGAGCTGTTCTGAGGGCTTCAGGCCAACTGGCTTCCACCCTTCAGAATTCAATTTTTATTTAATTCAAAACCAAAATTTGCTTTGATTCTGTTCCCTGGTGAGCTGAAGAGCTGCCTCCCACAGGGCCTCCCCCGGACCGCGCTGGCCTGGCTACTCACCTGGGGCAGTATCTCTTGGGCCAGGGCTCGAGCTCGCTGGTAGGCAGCATCACCCTCCTCGTTCTGCTCCACAGTGTGGTTCACCAGCCCCAGAGTGTGGGCCTGTACCCCAGTCAGTCGCCGGCCGGTGAAGATAAGTTCTTTTGCCAGGGCCACCCCCAGGCAGCGGGGCAGCCTTTGAGTCCCTCCTTTCATGATGGAGGGCAAGGAGGTTAAGTCAGGCTTGGGGCTAGGGGGAATCCCAAGAAGACCAAGATGGGGTGGCCACAGCTTCTCAGGACTGCAGGCTGAGTGGGGATGGGAAGCAGAGCCCAGCACAAGGGCCAAAGAGGAAAGTTGGGCAGGACTTGGAGGGAGTGGAACTGGGCAGACAGAGAAGGGCCAGGCTGTGGGGACCCTTACCTGCCCCAGGCAGCAGCCCTCGAGTGGTCTCAATCAGCCCCATGACCGCTGTGGAAGCTGTTTAAACAGGAGCACAGTGAATTCCTCCCTCCCTCTCCATCTCACACGGCACTGCTTATCCTTGGGGAAGAGTCACCCACCTCTACTCCACGTGCTCCCAACCTCTTCCCAGGCCGCCCCAGATTCTGCCTGTTAGAGCCCCAGTCTGGCAGTCAGGAGGCTCAAGCCTGGACTCCTCCCTGCCCCCTACTGGTAGAGTCTCCTCCGGAGCCTCAGGGTGGGGAAAAAAGATCCTATGCAGGTAGCAAAGGATCAAATGGCCACATGGTGCTTGAACAGGAAACGGGCTCCTCGAGGTGCCTGATGCCTGTTTGAGGGTTAATGGACCCTGTCTCATTACACCCTTATCTCAGGGCTGGCCTTCAGTGTGTACAGCTCCTGCTCCTACCTTAAAATACCTCTAAGCTCTCTGGCCCCACCTGAAGTTTCCTGCTGGTTCCAGTCTATCTTCTCCTGCTCACCTTACTCCAGCTCTGCCTCCGCAGAAACTCTCCCTGACTGACTATTCACAGGCCTCTTCTCTGAGTTTCCTGGGCATAAGCCAATTTTGGACCTGCACAGTGCGGCCAAGGAGTGGCCAAGGATCTCATGGATTCCATCTGAGCCTGCATTGTGAAGACAGAAGCTGTTCTTGGGGCATTTTTCAGTGCTGTTCTTGGGGCAGCGGTGAAAGCACAAGGGAGCGTGTGCCCCAATGACACTCAGCCCCGTGACCATAACTGCCACCAAGACAGCGGCCAAGCCAGGGTGTCTTGCGAGATGATCTTCCTCCTTGCTCCCCCTCAAGGCTCCACTGTAGCACAAGTGATGCCAGCTTTGGCAGTGCCTATGCCCTGGAGGCAAAGGGCCTGGCCCAGCCCCCTGGCTGTTCACTGCTCACCTCTGCTCAGTCCTAGGAAGAGATCTGGCTCAGCCAGAACTGCAGGCTGAGCATCGCCTTCTGGCCTGGCTCCCTCTCTGCCTTTCTGACTTTTTTTTCTTTTTTTTTTTAAATCGGTACCGGGGATCAAACTCACGACCACACACTTGCTAGGCAGGCGCTTATGCCACTGAACTAAATCCCCAGTCCCAAGGTATGTGTACTTTTTTTTTTTTTTTAAATTATTGGTACCGGGGATCGAACTCACGAGCAGGCGCTTGCAAGGCAGGTGCTTATGCTGCTGAGCTAAATCCCCAGCCTGGTCCTCTCTGCCTTTCTGCTGTCCTATCAGTGTCACTCTGGGCTGCAGTAAACACTCCCAAAAAGATGGGAGCTGCTCTTGTAGGAGACAGGCACTGAAGCTGAGGGTGGCAAAGCTGCCTGCCCTGTGCTCCCTCTGTGTCCCCTGCTGTGCCTCAGTTTCTCTTTTGGCTGGAAGGCCCCTCCGCTCACCCTGCTTCACTCACCCCTCCTCATGCTACCTCACGCGCACTCGTGGTACCTGCCACTCGGAGGTCACAGGCCAGGGCCAGCTCCAGGCCTCCGCCCAAGGCAAAGCCATCCATAGCCGCAATGGTGGGCGCAGGGAAGGCTGCTGCAGGATGAAGAGGGGCTGAGGTTGTGTGGTCCTGGGGGGATCAGGACCCAAACCCCACCTGGCAGAACAGAGGGCCGCACTGGCCCCTCAGCCAGATTATCTGAGAAGTAGGTTTTCCTGTCCTGCCAGGGAAGGTTCTGGGGTCCCGGGGATGGCAGTGGGGGCAGGCTGGCTGGTCCTTGCTCTGGACCCCTCTCCTGCTGGCCTCCCTGGTCCTGCCTGTGTGTGCCAAGCTCCATCCTGGTGGGAGCTGAATAGGATCTGGCTACTATGCCTTCGAGGCCTAGGCTAATAGAGAAGGCAAATGTGTAATCAGGCAGTCACTCAGAAACCCAGTGTTCCTACAAAAGGAAGCGTGGATGGTGGGTTGGGAGGGCTTCCTGGAGGGGGCACTGGAGGTCCTACAAGGTCAGTAAAAGCTCAGGTAGCCAAGAAGGCATATTCCAGACAAAGGGAATAGCAGCTGTTGAAGCCTGAAAGCATGTTTGGTGAGCTTGACTCCTGGACTAGCTGGGATTGATCCCTGGGATGAACCCAGCTGGGATTGAACCCAGGGTCACTGTAGTAGAGTCTTCTCTTGTACAAATGCTGTCTGCATCCTCTTGTCCCCTCCTCCTGGGGAAGTCCTTGTGCCCCTCCCTCTGTCTCCCACAGGGCTCAAAACAGAGTGGATGGTGGCTGAGGAGGGGCTGGTGCCAACAGGGGGCACCCCACCCCACAAGTCCTGCACCCCACTCCCAGATCCTTACCGATCTCACTCATCAGGCCTCGGAGTCTCTGGACAAAGACCCCCACCTCCGTGGCGCTCATCTGCTCCCGCTCCTTCAGGTCAGCACCTGCAGATGGCGAGGGGTTGGCACCTGCACTTGGGGAAAACCCTGGGGGCCGGAGACCTAGCAAAGGAGACTAGAGGAGAAGCAGCCAGAGAGGGAGAGAAACATGAAGAGATGTCAGAGGACGAAGAAGAGTGTCAGAGCGGCAGCCACAGCAAAAAAGACAGACTTCATCCAAGTGAACAGCTCCGACCTCAAAGGACACTATCAAGAGAGAAAAGACAGAGGCTGGGGATGTAGCTCAGAGGCATAAGCACCTGCCTTGCAAGCGGGCAGTCGTGAGTTCGATCCCTGGTACCGGTAAAAACGAAAAACATAAAATAAATAAATAAAATAAAAAATTTTTAAAAAGTGAAAAGACAACCCACAGAATGGGAGAAGTGCTTGCAGGTATAATTTCTGGAGGATTAATGTTGGGGTGTGGGGTGGCACAGGGGTAAAACAATTGCCTGGCATGGGTTAGGCCCTGGGGTCACTCCCCAGCACGGAAATAAAACCCAAAACAAAACAAAAAACTGCAAGTCAACAAGGAAATAATTCAACGTGGGCAAACTAAGTGAAAAGTTGTTTTCCCAGAGAAATTATACAGACAGCCAAGCAAGCGAAAAGATGCTAACATCACCAGTCTTCAGGAAAATCCAAAATCAAACCACAATGAAATTCCATTAACCATGGGCATGGTTATTTTTTTTCTCTCTCTTTTTTTCTCCTTTGATCGGTACCGGGGATCGAACTCAACGACCGCCTTCTTGCAAGGCAGGTGCTTATGCCACTGAGCTAAAACCCCAGCCCCTATGGGCATGGTTATTACTTAAACAAAACATAAAACAATAAAAAGGGGCTGGGGTGCAGCTCAGTGGTAGGATACTCCTGCATTCGATCTTCAGTACTAGGAATAAACACAGGAGTGTAGGCATGGATGTGGAGAAAGCGGAATCACATGAGTTGCTGGTGAGAATGTTCTGGAAAATGGTGTGATGGAAAGAGTTAGGTGAGTCCTCAAAAAGCTAAACAAAACTGCCATCAGTGTCTGGTCCCAAAGAACTGAGGACAGGAACTCAGATACTTGCATGGTAATGCTGTGGGTATTCCACAGGATGACCAAAGGTGAAAACGGCCCAGGGTCTGTCAACAGAGGGAGAGTGAGCCCGGGGCCCTGGCCAGCTGCCCCTCACAGGGACACCTCAGGAGTCAGTGCTCAGCTCAGCCCAGCCATGCTCCTCGACTTGTTCCTCCTTCTGGACCTGGGGTACATTTTCCCCCTGCCCGTGAAACAGGCGTTCATGCTGCTGGCCCTGTGTGAGGACCAGACGGTATGAGCGCTGTTGAGTTTCAGGGACAGGGACTGGGATTCTACGAGTGGACAGAGGGTACAGAGTTCTGTCTGGACAAATGACCTTGTGAACCTGCTTGCAATCACAGCTCTCATTTCCTAGAGAAGGCTTGGAACAAAATGTGGGGGTCGCAGAGTTGGTGTGCGTCAGAGAGGCTAACACCAAACTGAATTCTATTCTGTCCCTTACTAGTGTAGGCTTCTAGGCTGGTGATTTTACCACCGCAGTTCACAGCTGTACGACAGGAATAGTGCAGCCTATGCTGGAGCTGACCTTGTCCCCTCCCCCAGGTCTGCAGAACCCAGCGATGGGTTGCGGACAGGGACCCACCTGCACAGAACACACCCTTCACGGCGCTCCGGAGGAGCAGGACGCGCACACGCTGGTCCTCCCGCAGCTGGGCCACAGCATTCTGCAGCTGTGGAGGACACCTGTCAGACACCACTCAGTGCAGCCCAGCCCCAGCCCGGACCCACCTATGCCCCACTCTTACCTCACTCACAAAGACGTAGCCCAGGGCATTGCGGGCCCCAGGTCTGTTCATCAGAATCTCTGTGATTCCTGCAGAGGAGACATAGGCTGGGGTGAGGGCGCTGGCACTGCTCACCCAAGGCCGGACCGAGGGTTGGAAGCCAGGGGCTTAGAGACTCTGGCCTGGAGTAGTGTGACTTGGAGCCATTACACACCAGGGCCTGTTTTTCCAACTGTAAAGTGGAGAGAAAAACCTTTCCTTTTAGAAGAGCTTGTGAAATATGGCGCGAAATAGGAGGAGGAACAAGAACAACCATTGCAGTGGCCCTGCCTGCTCCACCAAATGCGCGCGCACAAGCATCAGCACGTGCGCGTGCGTGCACGCAGACAGTCACACCTTCCGTGTCACGGTTTCCTCTGTATCATTCCCTTCACAGCTGAACCTTTGACTCTAGAGTTGAACTTACGATAAGGCAAATGCCCTTGTAACTGCCACCCAGAGCCAAGAAATGGAACTGTGCCAACAACTCACCGTGTACCTGACCCCTCACATCTCCTACCTTTCTCCAGAGTAACTCTTCTGACTTTTGCGTAATCACTTCCATGTTTTGTTTTGTTTTGTCTTTTTGAGACAGGGTCTCGCTGTGCAGTTCAGGCTGGCCTTGAGCTCACTTTGTAGCCCAGGCTGGTCTTGAACTTGCAATGATCCTCCTGCTCAGCCTCCCGAGTGCTGGGATTACAGGCCTGAGCCACCACGCCCGGCTATTTCCTTTTTTTTTTTTTTTTTTTTTTTCTTCAGCACAATACTGGTCACTGTTTAGACCCCCGGGGACACCCCAGGTCGCTAAATTTCCCAGGCTGAGCTTGAACTTGCATCCCTCTTACTCGGCCGCCCAGGGAGGGAGCTGAGTGGGATTCCTGCACCAGGCTTCCTCTGTATTACTTTATCATTGTATCACCCAAGTGGGCATCATTAGACATCCCAGTCCAGATTCTCTAGTTTTTAAAAATTTGATTTTTATTAAAAGCCTGTTACGACTCCCACAGTCTCTCCTGGGCTGTCTTCCCCTAAAAAGTCATCTGCTGAAACACGGAAGATTTCAGTCCAGATGTTGTTGACAGCACCCATAAGGGCAAAGCAGCCTGCTTCCCCTCCCTGAGAAGTTTGATCGCTGTTGTGTCTGTCTTTCTTGGGGTCCCCTCCCTTGTTTGGGTGAGTTTTCCACTCATTTTGTCACATTCTTCACCTCCATTCTCTAACCCTTCCCCCGCAACTCAACCACATCACGCACAAAACGTGCTGCGCACAGGCTGCCGGCCGAGCTCTCACACAGCGCCCCCGCGTGGCCGGTAACCGCTGCAGGCTCTTTGGTTCTTCACCTCCCGCCCAGACCTCTAGTCCGCTGCCCCCCACCCCCCACAAGCGCACATGCCTCCATCTGGGAAGGAGTTCCTAACCGTGCCCCTTCCTTCCCTCCCCTTTTTCAAACACTGAAGCCCGGTGTCTCAATACACCCACAGACACCCCCGCGATCTGTCCTTGGACCCCACAGTCTGAACTCATCCCTACCATCTGTGGCAAGGGCCGGCTCTACCTCATCAAGGGAATCAGAGAGGAATTACAGAGCCGTGCACAGGGCAGGGAACTGTGATGTTCACTCAAGTGAGGCTTCTTGGCTTCCTGGAGACCTGCAGCAAGCTCTGAGAGCTCAGCAGCCTGGAGGTCCCGCAGCTAGCTGCTGAGATGGCCCTGTGGGGTCCTTCACAGCTCTGGTGCCAGAAGAGAAAATGGTGTGACTCTGTGTAAAAGAACCGTGGTGGACACAAGCAAGATCAGAGGCAAATCTCACAGTAGGCAGGGGTGCAGACCCTGGGCCACTTGTTCACACCCTAAGCAAGTTCAAGTTCTTTCCCTGAGCAGACAGGACCTCAAACTGCTTCTAACCAACGGGAAACAGTGTATGGCATATAATGCCACTTTGGGATCAGGTTAAGCTATATGCAGAGGCAGCAGATCTGACTTTTGTGATCCTGCTGTGATAGACACCAGGCTCTGTCTACTCAGACTCCGGGGGCTACAAAGACAGGACACGGAACTGAGAGGGACTCTTGCTCAAAAATCTGCAAGAAAACAAGACTTTGGTCCTAGAGTCACAAGAAGGTGAATTCTGTTACCTGTCGGAGGAGCTGGAAGGAAGCCCACCCCCTTCCCCAGTCCCCTGAAAAGCCAGATAAAATCACATTCCCTGCCAACTCCACAGCTGTATCCAGGTTAACTCCTGACATGGAAACCTCAGCTAAGCTGCAGCTGGACTTCTGACTTTCGGTAACTGCAGGAGGAAAATGTGTGGATAAGCAACAGAGTTCGTGGTTGTTTGTTATACAGCAATGGAAGACAAATATAATCATGATGGCTTGAGAGTGAGACACTTTTCCCTCTACAGCTTCCTTTCTGGCTTTCACCTCTGACTGATTGATTGCTTGATTGCTGGTGCTGGGGGCTGAACCCAAGGCCTCAAATGTGCTAAGTCACAGCTCTACCGCTAAGATCAATCTTTCAAGACCATTCTCATCTTTTATCTTCATTTCCTTTTTCCACCTTTGTCCTCTCAGAATACTGACGGCCAGGTCTTACAATCCTTGGCGTAAGCCACAGATGGGACAACCAGCTCCAGGGCCTTGGTTAAGTGTCTTTACCCTTTGATCTACAGTTACCTGACCTGCGAAGAGAAGTGACTAAAAGGTTGATCTAAGTACTAAAAGACATGAAACGTACAAAAGCGTCAGGCCAGAGTTTGAGTGTGTGGTACACAAGGCAAAATGAGCAGAGACTAGGGCACCTGCAGGATCTAAGGAGACTGCACCCCAGGCCCGGAGTCTCAAGACAGGGTGTCTCTGACTTTCAGTTACCCACGTGTGACATCAATGTGCATATCCACACGCCTGGGCCCTGTTTTCTCAGTCTGGCCCTTCCCTCTCTTACCAAGCCCGCCACGAGTCTTTCCTGAACAGCTGGCTGAGGTCATTTCTGTCTGGATGGTCCAGCAGTGGTGGCAAACCTATGGCATGTGTATTGCAGCCAGTTATTTGTATCACGGAAAGCTCTAAGATGTTTGCCATCTAGAGCAAGGCTAGCTGGTAGGGTGGGGTCAACAGTGGCTGAGGGAAAGCAGTGTGGAGAAGGTCTGGTTTAAAATCCCTCACTCCTAACTAGGGAAACGAAGTCCCAAACATGAGGGTCTGCTTAAGTCACAGCCACAGCTAACAGTTCCCTCTCAAACAGTGAACAACTAACTGCAGGGGGCTCAGCACAGACCACTTGCTGAGCCTAGGACAGGCCCTGGGTTCCAGTCACAACACACACACACACACACTCGCCTAAAACCTCTGACACAGGCAAGTCCAGAAACAGGAAACCTAAAGGTACAGCATGCTAAGATAGTGCTGGAAAGCATCCTGTAGGCAGAGAGAAAAGGGCTGGAACAAACAGAGCCCCTGGGGGCAAGGGAGGAGACAGGAAGGTCAGACAGTGGGTGGGATTGGCACTTTCAGGGCTTTCTCCTGCTGTGAGCGCTCCCTCACATCTCCCAGCATCCTCTGGGCTTCCTTTTCTTCTTTCCTCACTGACTTTAGTCTTCTCCAGGTTTTTTGGCAGAGGTTGAGGCTTAATCTGGTGACCTTTGTTATTCATTCTACATAAAATGATTCAAATACTTACCAGGGAGCCAAAAGCTCTATTGTTCCTGACAACTTTATACATATATATATATATATATATATATATTTTTTTTTTTTTTGGTCTTTTTTTTGGAGACAAGGTCTCATTGGGCACTTCAAACTGGTCTTGGGCTCACTTTGTAGCCCAGGTTGGTCTCAAACTCCTAAGAATCCTGCCTCAGCCTCTTGAGTGCTGGGATTATAGGCGTGAGCCACCACGCCAGGCAATTTTGTATTTACTGTGATTTACCTATACAGTGATTTACCTATGTAAATCACTGAATACCTAGAAGAATCAATTATGACTCCTTGGTTGAAAATCCAAGGTTTTGAAATCAGACCTGATCTGGACTGCTTAGTGTACAACGCAACGCAGCTCTGAGAAGAATAACTGGCCAGAGAAGGGACATGGGACCAGCGGGAAGGAAAGATAAGGGTCTTGCGCCGCTGTTCTGAAAGGGATCGGCACCGTGGAGCACACTCAAGTCCAAAGGCCAAACAAACAGCTCCCTCCCCCAAGCCAGCAGGCGGGCCGCCTCGGGCGCCCTCGGCCGCGACCTCGGGACGCTCCGGCTCCGCGCTGGCTCCTCCCGCTCAGCGCGCGCCCCGCAGATGGCTCGGTCACTTCGTCCCCGAAGCCGCCAGGGCCCTGGGGGTGCGGGGAGCTCGGGCACTTCATAGGTCCCGACCGGCCCGGAGACCTCAGTGTCAGCCCTGCAGTGCGCGCGTCTCCTCCCGCACAGCCCAAGCTCCGACTGGAGAGGAGGAGACGCGCTCTCCTGGCAGGTCCCGCCGCCACGCCGCGGTCGCGTCGCCGGCCTTGCGCCACGTGGGGCTCCCGGCCTGGGAGGAGACGGGCTGGATCTGAGATTCCAAAGCGCGCGGCGCCCCACCTCGCCCACGGCCTCGGCCTCCCGGGGCGCGCAGGCGAGCTTGGGGCGCCGGGCCTGCCCGCCTCGGCCCCCCGGTGCCGGTGGGCGCTGGCTGAGCCCTTCCCGGGCGCGCCCCGGCACAGGCTTTTACCTTGGTCCGGACCCTCCAGGGTGCGCACTTGGATCTCGCGGCCTCCAGCGGTCCCGTCCGAGGCGCTGCCGCGGGCCCCGAGAGGCCCCCAGAGGCGCGGGAGGCGCAGCGCGCGCAGCATCGGGGCGCGGGCCGCGGAGGCGCAGAGGGGGCCCATCCCAGCCGGCTCCGCTGCGCACTGAGTTCCGGCGGCCGCGAGGCCTGGGAAACGGCTCCACCTATGGGCCGAGGGGCCGTCGCAGCTGTGCCCCGAGGTCCAGGCGGGAAGCCTAGCGCCTCCATGGGATCCGGGGCGAGGCTTCAGCCGCGCCTACAGTTAGTGTTTTAATCTGAAGAGCAGGGAAAATAACAGCGACCGCCTCGCGGTGGTGATGTGGCGACTGAACGGAGCATGTGAACCTTGCACATATGCTCAGTAAATGTCGGTTCAGTTAAAATACGCTTTTTCTGATCAGGCGTGGTGGCGGCGCACTCCTGTAATCCCAGAATTTGGGAGGCTGAGGCAGGAGATCGATGAGAGTTCGAGGCCAGCCTGGGCTACAAAGCGAGTTCATGGCCAGCTCAAACTACATAGGGAAACCCTGTCTCAAAATAAATAAATAAATAAAATAAAATAAAACAAAAATAAAGCTCGTGGTGGTGTAAAAATAAAGCGTGGTGGTGGGGGGGGGCTAGGGATTTAGCTCAGCGGCATAAGCGCCTGTCTTGCAAGCAGGCAGTCGTGAGTTCGATCCCTGGTACCGATAAAAAGGAAAAAGACAAAGAAATAAAAATAAAGCGTGGTGGTGTAAATCTGTAATCCCAGCACTCCCAAGAGTGAGGCAGGATTGCCTTGAATTAGAGGCCAGCCTGTGCTACATTAGGAGTTCAAGGCCAGCCTGAACTACATAGCCAGACACTGTCTAAAAATAATAAAATAAAATAAAATAAAATAAGGCATTTTGTTAGTCACTTGGACATTGCCTTCATTCACTGGCCCCACTGGCTCACTCCATTTGTGTTTTAAACAGAAGGGGAGACACGACAGGTTAGTGCTTCACCTACTGGGTGTAATGCTTATTTATCGCAGTGTAATGCTCAATGAATTGCCCCACAAAAATTACTGATTTAGCTCAGCGGCATAAGCGCCTGCCTTGCAAGTAGACAGTCGTGAGTTCGATCCCTGCTACCGATAAAAACAAAGACAAAAAAAAAAAAATTCTGTGAATGTGAATTGCTAGTTTCTGCCTCCCTCAGTCCATCTGCGCTGCCTTTGCAGAGGCCTTGCTTACTTCATTTAACGTGGAAGATCAAGAGTGTCAGTGGACAAGCTTTCTGCTCTCTGAATTCTTTCTTACCTACCTTTTTGAAGACCTCAAGCCACTAACAGCTCTGGCCCTCAACCTATGGCTAAACTGGCAAAGTCTCCCTTTCAATTCACCAGTATGTGGGGTTCCTTTGTTACTGATTAACACAACCTCTGACAATAACAGGCCCACTGGCAGCCAGGAGGTTTGGGCCGAGCAGGGGAAAGCCACCTAGACCAGCTGGAGGAAGGTGGATTTGTTACAAGGCATTATGAGCAGCGTGGGTAGCAGGACTAGGTCAGTGTGGGAAGCTGTAACAGACAGCTTTGGGTAGCAGGGCACGATGATTGATGCCGGTAATCCCAGCTTCAAGTGGCAGTTATACCTGACTGGGGTTACATTAAATCTGTCCAGCATTTTTTGGAATAGGGCATTCTCACTGTGTGGGTTAGTTCTACTAAACAAGGGATGTCTTTCCATTTCCTGTTATCCTTCTTGGCCTCCAAGAGTACTGTAGTTTTCAATGTAGCTATCTTTTACTGTCTTTGTTAGATTGATACCTAAGTATTTCATTTTTTTCAGGGCTATTATAAAAGGATACTTTCTTAGTGAGTTTGTTATTGATGTACAAGGAAGGCTATTGATTTTTGAGTGCTGACTTTGTAACCAGCTATGTTACTGAATTTGCTTATTAAATCTAGAAGTCTTTTGGTGGAATCTTAGAGGTATTCTAAGTAGAGTATCATGTCATCTGCAACTAATGGTAGGTTAACTTCTTCTTTTCCTATCTTTATTGCCTTTATTTCTTTTGTCTAATTACTCTGGTAAATGTTTCCAGAACTATATTAAATAGAAGTAGTGATAGTGGATGTCCTTGTGTTGGTCCTGATTTTAGAGTGAAAGCTTTCAGTTTTTGTCCATTTAGTATAATGTTAGCTATTGGTTTGTTATAGATGGTATTTATCAGATTGAGTTAAAAACCATATATTACGATTTCTTGTAGTTTTTTTTTTTTTTTTTTTTCACAAATGAGTGCTGGACTTTGTCAAAAAGTTTTTTTGCACCTATTGAGATGATCATATATGGTTTTTGTCCTTGGCTCTGTTAATATGGTGTATTATGTGTATTGATTTGCATGTGTTGAACCATCCCTGCATCCTGGGGATAAATCCTATTTAGTCATGGTATAAAATCTTTTTGATGATTTGTTTGTATTGTAATCCCAAATACTGAGTTCAGTCACCCAAGTATTGTAATCCTCTTTCTACTTTTCCTCACAATCCAAAAGGTTATTTTTGTAATCCCAATAAGATGTTATTAGAATCCCAGCAAGTTAATTCCAGTGTACCACCACCAATGCAACTCACGGCGAGAGTAAAGACACCAAGACATATTCCAAGTTAAGGGCAGCCAAGGAGTCTTAAATCCAATTCCTGCGAGGACATGTGGACAAAGGCCCTGATCCTAGGCCTCTCCCAGCGTTTATTATCTTGAGAAGAAGTGGGGTGGATCAAGGATGAGTGATAGTGAGGATGGAGGGAATTAGGTAACTTGAGCTGGCTGGCAAGGTGTAAGAATGGCATCTCTGTAAATTGCAGAGATAAAGATACGCATAAGGGTCAATTCACACAGTCTAATTAAGGTAGCAACTGAGTTGTTTGGGGAGGCTGTCCCTTTAGTTTCTGATATGAAAACTCTTGTGCCCTGGGGAGTCATAGCCTCTTTACTTTGAGGCACCTCCCCAACTGACATTCCCAGAGCTATTAGCTCTGACATCCCGCTGTGCTCGTATCCTTTACACAGAGAACTCTATTTGAGGAGACAGTACTGTCTGTTGGCTTTAGAGATTACACACCAGCACCTCAGCTAGCCTTATGTGCAATACTTAGAGCCAATTGAAGAGAGAGGGGAATACCGTAGCCAGCTCTCTATATATCAGTATAATGAAATAAGTCTCCAAATAATCAGAGGTGCAGTAATTGTTTTGCGTTTAAGGGGAGTGCCTGGAGCTGTCTCCCACAGTTTTCCAGTATCTTATGGAGGATTTTTGTGTAGGGTGCCGGGATTTAGCTCAGAGGAGATTGGCCTGTAGTTATGCTTTTTAATTGAATCCTTACCTGGCTATGGTTTCAGGCTAATGCATGCTTCCAGGAATAAATGTAGGAATATTGCTTTCCTTTCAATTTCATTAAAGAGTTGAGGCATAGTGGCATTAGATCTTTTCTAAATTTCTTGCAGAATTCTTCAGTGTATCCACTAGGATATGGGCTTTTCTTTTCTTTCTTTCTTTTTTTTTTTAATTGGTACCGGGGATCAAACTCTTGACTGCATGCTTGCAAGGCAGGTGCTTATGCCACTGAGCTAAATCCCCAGCCCCCAGACATGGGCTTTTCTTTCCTTTCTTTTTTTTTTTTGTTTTTGTTTTTTTGTTTTTTTTTATCGGTACCAGGGATCGAACTCACAACTGCACACTTGCAAGGAAGAATGACAGTCTCTCTAATAAATGGTGCTAAAAAAAAAAAAAAAAATGGGTTCTCATATGCCCAAACTGAAAACAGACCCATGTCCATTACCATGCCCTAAACTAATCAAAATGGATCAAAGGTCTAATATTGCAGCAGAGATGCTAAATCTGCTGGAAGAGAGAATAGATAGAACTCATTGCATATTGCTGTTCTCTAAATAGTTGCGTAGACTCCTGGTCCCAGGCTTGCAAAGTCAAGCAAACAACACACATGTCAGGTTGTTTCCCTACCTTGGTTATTATTATCTCAGCCTGTGTTACATTCTGTTGCTTACGGTTGGGGGAGTCGGGGCAGAGGTGTCTTCTATGCTGGTTCTCCCTGGCAGCAGGGACGCCACCCCCTTGCTTTTTTATTTTTGCTGGATTCCTGAATTATCTCTCTCCATGGGCTTCAAGTCTCAGTTCAGATCCTTCCCGTGCCATGGGACCCACCTCCCTCCTCCTTCTCTTCCTCATGTTGATTATATTCCAGGGTCTAGACACCAAAACTGGGAGAATTTCTTTTTCTGCTGCTCACCACTCTGCCATTTTCCTGGAAATCCTCTAGATAGAAGACATAACTGTATGCAAAGTCCTCGTGAACCAAACCCCAGTGGCACAGAAAATGCCACAGAGAGTCAACAACTAGGATCTCATTAAAAAGCTTTTGCACAGCAAAAGAAGATACCAACTGAATGAAAAGACAACCCACAGAGTAGGAAAAAATCTTAGCAAGTTGTTATTCACATAAAGGACTAACATCAAAACATATAAAGAGCTGAAAATAATCAGAGCACCCCCAATTTAAAGACCTAATCCATAAATGAGCATCAAAAGAAGTACAAACAGCAAATAAATATATGAAAAAATGTTCAACATTACTGATCATTTGAGAGACAAATTAAAACAACACAGAAATTTTACCTCACCCCAGAAAGAATGACTAGTATCAAGAAACCAAACAATAACAAATGCTGGAGGCGCTTTGGGGAAAAAAGAAACCCTTCTCCACAGTTGGTGCGAGTGTAGATGGTTGCAACCACTGTGGAAATCAGTGTGGAGATTCCTCAAAACACTAGGACTAAATGTTCCTTTTGACCCAGCTATCTCCCTTATGGATATCTTTCCAACAGAATTAAAAACATCATACCACAGCAATATATGTGCACCCTTGTTTATAGCAGCACATTTGACAATACCTAGATTTCAGAAACGACCTAAATGCCCATCAACTGAGGAATGGATAAAAAAGATGTGGTACTTGTATGTAATGGAGTACTACTCAGCCATAAAGAAGGATAAACTAGAGACTTTTATAAGTAAATGGATGCAACTTGAGACCATACTCATAAGTTAAATAAATAAGACACACATATGTAAATATCGTATTGTCTCACTAGTGTGAGAAGCTGAAAGAAACAACATATGTGGATGTATACAAATACATATATAAAAAAAGATAGTAAAGGTAGATTTGCACTGGTATTGTTCAGACAATTGAAAGCAGATGTCTTGTGCTTGGTGAATGATTTGGGGATGACAATGTGCAGTGTATATACCATTGTTGCACCTTGATTGACATATTGTTTTCTTTGAAATTTGTTTGTTTTCATTGAAATTTTGCTTTCTTTTTTTTTTCTCTTTGTAATAAAATGGATTTTAAAAAATAAAGTAAATTTAAATTGAAAAAAGAGAGACAAGGAAGGACATTATACATAAATAAAAGGTTTTTGCTGTGGTTTGTATCCAGATGTCTTTTGGATCATGGGAGTGTGGTAATCCTCAGTGAATGAGTTCCCTGCTGAGTTTAAAGTTAAATGTGATGTTGATGACAAAGCCTGATCAAAATGGGGGGACCTCTGCAGGGTGTGGCCTGGAAGGGTCTGTCTCTGACCTCACTCTGCTCTCAACTCTCTGCTTTCTGCCTGTTTAAGGAGCTAGAAAAAGAATAAACTAAATCCATAATTAACAGAAGGGAGGAAATAATACAGTTCAGACACAGATCCATGAAGGAGAGAACAAGCCAAGAGCAATGGCCCACGTCTGCAATCCTAGCTCTTGGGAGGCTGGGGAAGGAGGGGTGCCACGAGTTCCAGGCCAGCCTGGGAGACACAGTGAGATGACACCTCAAAAATAAAACACAGAGGGGCTGGGGATTTAGCTCAGCGGCATAAGTGCCTGCCTTGCAAGCAGGCAGTCGTGAGTTCAGTCCCCGGTACCGGTAAAAACGAAAAAGACAAAAAAAAAAAAAATAATAATAATAAAACACAGGGGCCCGGGATTTGGCTCAGCAGTGTAAGTGTCTGCCCAGCAAGAGCAGGGTTGTGAGTTTGATCCCCAGTATAAAATAAATAAATAAATAAAAAGAGCAGAGAACAGATAACAGAGAAAAATCAATAAAACCAAAAGCTGATGCTTATGAAAAGATCACCACATTTGAGAAAGAAGCCTTTTGTTTGATGGACAAGGAAAAAAGGTTTAAATTGCTAAAAATAGAACTAAGAGTGGGGAAACAAGTGCAATATTGAGAAAGCTTCTGAAACTCAACAACAAAAAAGTTTTTCAAATCCTATTAAAAACTGGGCTAAGGAATTGAATAGCCATGTCTCCCAAGAAAGTATACAAATGGCAAATAAGTGCATTAAGAGGTTTTGAATCAGGTCATGATGCTGTACACCTACAGTCCAAGCTAAGGCAGGAGGATTGCACCTTTAAACCCAGCCTGAGCAATTTAGCAACTCAGTGAGATCTTTTAAAAATAAAAAAGCCTGTGCTGGTTTTGCAGAACTGGCTGGCAGGCCCGGCTTCCTGCCCGAGCCCAGGGCTGGAGGGCTGCCCTGAGGAAGTAGGAAGTGGAGGACTGGGACAGAGCAACAGTGCAGACTTCTGTGCCCTCCCCAGCTGCACTGGGAAGAGCTCTTTTGCAATCTGGGCTGACCTTCTGTAGGGATCCTGCGGATTGCAGAAGTGAGTGGAGAAGTGTGAGAGAGCAGACTTGGATACAACACCCGAACAACTAAATAAACATTACCGATCGTGTGCCAAGCATTCTGAGACCTCTGTGATCTGTAGAACTAGCTCTTGCAGGACCACTTACCAGTCATTTGAACAGTCCGCCTACAGACACAGAAAATGAATAGAAGAATTGAGTAAAGATGATATCAGGGGTTGGGGAATTAGCTCAGTGGCATAAGTGCCTGCATTGCAAATGTGCATTCGTGAGTTTGATTCTTGGTACCGATAAAAAAAAAAAAGATGATATCAAGACACTGAAACAGAAAAAAATTTGATGAAATCTCTGAACAGGGCCAGAAACATAAAGAAACCAACAAGAGCAGTGCTCAGAATCTGGGTGTAGACGTGGTAGGCGATGAGCGGGATGAAGATGTGTTATCTTTAACCCTTGAAGAGAAGAAAAACAAGGAATATTTAATGTCTCTATTTGAGATTTTGATTCTTATGGAAAAACAAATCTTCTGATGAGCATAAGACTGACAAAACTCCAGAAGGCCTCTTTACGCCTGATAGCTTTGAAGCATTGCTAGAGCACCGAATACATCCTGAAGAAGAGGTCCTGAGAAAGCTTTGAAACCACAGCTGTGGACATATTGTTCTGTTCAAAAACACAGCAGAAACAGATGCTAGAGGTCTGTGAGAGCTGCATTCGGGAAGAAACCATCAGAGAAGTGAGATACTTGTACTTCTGTTCCATCCTGTCTGATGACGTGGTGGATGTAGCAAGAAGAGCCCTTACCTGTCTCGGTGAGGGTTGTTGATGACTCTCAGAACCTGAGAGAAGAGTTTGTGGCCTTCTTGCCTTATGAAGCTGATGCAGCAAATTTGGCTGTGAAATTTCACATTGCCAGAACTGAGAAGAGGGGAAAAAATACGGAGTAATGTCATGGCCAGGCTTATATTGTGTCTAGTGGACTTTCTTCTAAAATGAAAGTGGTTGCTTCTAGACTTCTAGAGAAATATCCCCAAGCTGGCTACACTCTGCTCCTCCTGTGTCTTAAACATGTGCTTGGCAAAATCAGTGCCTGTGGGAGGGATTAGTTGCGTAAGGAGCAATTGAGGAAGTTTGGGTTTTTTCTATCGGTCACCACAACTACTCTTATAACTTGGCAATGTAATTTCTGTTCTTTTTCAGAGCAGTAAAGAAAGGGGTAAATTACTGAAGGAAACCTGTCATTCTCAGTGGACAGGCAGGCACGATGCTTTTGAAGTTTTAGTGGACCTCTTGCAAGGAGACACAAATATTAGGTGAAATAACTGTATAGCTGGCCGCGCATTTGCACTCTGTAGTGCAGTGACGGATCTTGATTTTATTGATATGATTGTTGTCCTTAAAACGTCTTTTCTTTTACAAGGGCCTTTGGGACGAATGTCCAGGGACGAACTTCTGATGTCTTCTCTGTAGTTTGTACTGCTGCACTGCAATCACTCAGTGAGGCGATGGAAAATATTGATGTTTATCATGAGTTTGTGTTTGAGGAAGCCACAAATTTGGCAACCAAACTTGATATTTAAACGAAGCTCCCTGGGAAATTTTGTGGGGCTCATTTAAGGTAACCTAGAATCTCAGTTATCCTCTAAGAGTTACTATAAAGAAACCCTGAGTATCCCAACAGTGGAGCACATTATTCAGGAAGTTAAAGATATATTTGGTACCCTCAGTCATAGGACAGCTCAGATCCAACACATCAGAGGAACAGCAAGCCGATGCGGGGGGAAGCTTAGAGATTCCATCCACCACTCAGAAGCTTCCATGTACCTGACATCAAGTTTTCTCCTAGTGTGTACACCTTACTGTGAGACAGAATACCTCATAACCACTGATCCCTATCTCCTGACCTAGGTAAGCATTTGCAAATTTGCTTCTGTTTTGGTATTCATTTGGGGCTCATCCATGGACTTGTTTCTTTGAGTTAGCATTTGGTTAAATTTGTGGGAGCCACGGGACACAGTGATTCTTAAGTCTCAGCATGGTCAAATGTTTGGTCAGAGTCAATCATTGAATTTTTTCCAAACTGTCTGTGGGGAGCAGTAACCATTTCCTGGGGTTGTCTGTCTGTCAGTGTGTCTGTGTTATCATCCTCCCCCATTGCACCTATGATTTCAGGTCACAGCAGAATCTGTCACCTGGCTTGGATGACTGTTGCCCAACCTACTCTTGCCTTTCTTGTCTCTTGCAATCCTGCACTTGGAGACTCCAGAGGACCCAGCCTGTCTGCCACACATCATCCTGGGGGCTCCATCTGCTCACATTCATTAGCCTGGGACTCTCTCTCTCTCTCTCTCTCTCTCTCTCTCTCTCTTTTTTTTTTTATCGGTACCGGGGACCGAACTCATGACCGCCTGCTTGCAAGGCAGGTGCTTATGCCGCTGAGCTAAATCCCCAGCCCCATAGCTGGGGATTGAGGGGCGGGGCCGTACTGAGGTACACTGCTGTTCTTTTGTTCTAAATCTGGCAGCTATGGTATCAGCAGGTAGCAAAAAAACTTTTGGAGTGCATGTTTAAAATTTCTGACAGATGTAAAGGTGCTTTGGGGATAAAGATGAAACTGAGAAAATGCCACAGTTTGTATAAATTAAAATGGCCTTTCTGGTGTGGGATGGCCATCGGAAGGGACGATCTGTCTTCTGGTAGCCAGCTGAGTGTGGGATGTGGTCACCAGGAGGCCAGGGCCCCCAGATCAGTTGCCCTATGTAGATTCCTGCTTGCTGCGGGTCAGGTATCACCTCCATGGCTTACAGTGTGTGCCTGAGGATCTCCTGAGTGAGTGATGCTGGTAGAAGGAAAAGCCTCCAGGATAAACTGCCTGCTTTGGCCTTGGCTCCTGAGAAGGGCGACCCCGCAGCCCTGGCTCCTGCGCTGCCCCCACCCCGTCGGTTCCTTGCTGCCATCCCTGCTGGCAAGCCTCTCCAGGGTCAGAGGCGGCTTCCACCCCCAGGATGAGGAGCTCTCTGCACCGGACACTGGTCCCAAAGTGTGGCGGGACATGTCCTGTGCTGGCAAGAAGTGGCCCACGCTTGGCGACCCCTTTCCCGTGGGAGAGAAGTCTTTCTCTGATCCCATCCCCGTTCTGCCTCTGGCAGATGGCCATGCCTGGACGGGGCAAACGGTCCAGCTGACCTTTGTTTATGTTCCTTGTGGGACTAGTGACTTCTATAACTGGGAGGCTCAAAATCCTCCTTTTGCACAGCAGCCGGGAGTCTAGTCACCTTGCTGGAGTCAGTGTTTACCACACACCGGCCCAGTTGGGATGACTGTCAGCACTTAAGGTTTACCCTGTTTTCCTCAGAGGAGAGCGAGAATCTGGAAAGCAGCTGAGGATTGGTGAGACAGAACTAGGGAACTGAACAAGAGCGACTTGGGACCAAAGACTGAACCAGGGCTCAGAATTTAGGTGCACACATCGCAGGGCCCTGGAAGAAGGGCTTCTCGGCGCTGGTCGCCGCCTCTCCAATTTAAACAAGGTGGCGGAGGCGTAGCAGGAACTAACTGGAAGCCCCAGTGCGTTCCTCGAGCGCCTCCTAGAGAGTTACCAGATGTGCGCTCCGCCCCACCCACCGGTGCCGAGGACACGGCGTTTTTTTTTTTTTTTGGTTGTTGTTGTTTTTTGTCTTTTTCCTTTTTATCGGTACCGGGGATCGAACTCACGACTGCCTGCTTGCAAGGCAGGTGCTTATGCCGCTGAGCTAAATCCCCAGCCCCCGAACACGGCGTTATTAACATGGCTTTCGTCAGCAGCCCGCTGCTGGTATGCACGGTAGGTTACAGAAACTGGACGGGTGCGCAGCAACGACTGTGACCCAGCTGACTGAGGTAGCTCAGAAGGTGGCACAACAGAGAGCAAAGAGGTGCAGACCTGAGGAGGAAGGACAAAGGTGTCAAGGGCAGCTCACAAGAGAGGGTTCGGTCAGGGACCAGGGGGAAAAGAGAAGGGAAAGCGGCCTGACTGGCAGGGAGAGGCCCTCCTCTAGGTCCAGACCAGAGGTCTACTGTAAGGAGAAGGGGCATTTCCAGGGGGGAATGTCCAAACCTGCTGCACAAGGGAAGGAGAGAAGGGCTGTGATGGATTCAGGGGAAACTGCAGAATGATGGGGTCATAGCTCTCTGTCTCTCAGCCCCAGGGAACCCACCTTAAGCCCAAATGTAGGGGAAAATCTATCAGATTCCTGGTGGACACTGGTACAGATGTATCTGTAGTTACCCAGCCAGTAGTCCGACTTGTAGGCAAAAGATACATGTACAAGGGGCAACTGGCCAATCTTCAACACATTCCTTTTGTGAACTATGGTACATTCAGCTTGGATGACAAATAGTTAGCTGTTCTTTCCCCTGTGCTGGGTCAAAATCTCCTTCACAAGCTGCAAGTTCAGATTTTTCTTTCACTCCTAGGGAAACCATTTTAACTACTGGGGAGAATTCCCCTCTGGAAGTTCTTGTTCTGTTACATTTCTATGCAAGAAAAATATCATCTCCTGGACTCAGGACAGCAGACACCAGAGTGTCTTGTCTTCCCCTCTTGGGTTCAGCATTTCCCTATGGTTTGGGCAGAAGACAGCCCCTCAGCTTTGGAGGCTCATGTGCCCCAGCAATAGTGGAGTTGGGGACATGCAAAGCCCATTCACTTGAAACAATATCCAATGACCATAGAGGCTCAAAAGGGAATTAAATCCCATGTACAGAGGTTGATTAAGGCAGGAAGGTGGAAAGAGTGTCCGTCCCCACAGATTACCCCTTTTCTGCCAGTTCAAAAGCCTGCGGCAAATGAGTGTAGGCCAGTCCAGGACTTCTGAGCTGTAATGTTTTGGTTGTCACCCTGCACCTTACTGTCAGACACCCTTACACCTTGCTTACTTTACTTCTGCCTGCCTGAACGTGGTGTGGTGTGCTAGATTTAAAAGATGCTTTCTTTTGCGTCCCTTTGTCTGTGGGGTCTCAAGAAATACTTGTTTTTCAGTGGGAGGAACATGAGGAGGGATGAAAATGTCAACTTACCTGGACAAGACTCCCACAAAGATTTAAGAATTCCTGAAAAAATTTTTGGGAGGCCTTGTCCAAAGACTTAGTGCCTTTTAACCAAGAAAATCCTGATATTTCTCTGTTACAATATGTTGATGACTTGCTTTTAGCTGTGGAGATGCAAGAATTGTGCCAGAAGGGAACAAAAAAGCTGTCAGATTTAGCATCTATGGGGGACCTCCTTCTAAAGGTGGTAGCCATTGTTAATTCCCTATCATCTTAATTTGAAGTCCTGTATCATTTTCATTTTGTTGGGTTTGGTTTTATTCTATTTTGTTTTGCTTGATTTTGTTATATTGGATGGCATGGGCAGCTATTTCAAAAAGAACAAGATATATTATGGTAGTCACTTTGGATTTACTCTTGTCTTGTTTGAAATCCTTTATTGCATTCATTGTTTTGTTTTTATTGGCTCTATTCCATTTTATTTTGTTTTTATTATGCCTGAAATTATAGGCAGCTGTTTTGAAGACAATAAAAGGCATTACAGTAACCATTGTTGATTTCCTATTGTTTTGAAGTCCTGTATCACTTACACTGGTTTGTTTTGATTGATTTGATTCTGTTTATGTTCTTTAAAATAAAAATTGCAAAGAAGAAAAAGATTCACATTTGTATCCAAACTGTGAAGTGTTGGAGATTTGTATTAAAGGATGGGCCACACTTATTGTCAGCCCTCACGTACCCAGGCCATCCAAAGCTTGGAAGAACCCTTATGTAGAAAGGACTTGATGAAAGTCCTAGGAACAGTTGTGTATTGTCACTTATGGGTTCCCAATTTTGCAGCTATTGCAAAGGCCTTGTATGAGGCTTTGAAGGGAGGAAACAGCTCTTCCCTGGAGTAGATCCCTGAGCATCAGACAGCTTTTGAGACTTAGAAGGAGAGATCGGTAAGTGCCTCTGCCCTGGCACTGCAGAACATCACCAAACCTTTTCTGCTATTGTCCATGAAAAAGGAGGCACTGTTTGGGGTGTCCTGACTCAAAGCCTGGGGTCTTGGAAGTGCCCAGTAGCACTTTTGTCCCAAGGGTTAGATCCTGTAGCAGCTGGATGGCCCTCTTGGCCTGCACTCCATCACCACCACTATTGTCCTAGGAAAAGAAGAAGACAAACTGACTCAGGACAAAGATGAAATATGTTTATTCCTTATGCAGTAGAGACCTTGCTGAGAGGACCTGGTGGCACATAGTTATCAGGAACTAGACTGACTCAATATCAAGGGACCCTTTTAGAGGACCCCGACTGTTAGAACCATATGTGCTCTTAACCCTGCCTCCCTTTTGCCTACATCCCTGGAGCCACCTGAATGTGACTACACAGAGACAATCAAGACAGTCTACTCAGCTCCACAGGGCCTGCAGGACTTGGCCTTCCAGAGCCCAAACTAGACTCTGTTTTTAAATGGCAGCATGGTAATCAATGGGGTTCAGAGGGCATGAACGGTAGTTGTCACTCTTGAATGAGCAGTCTGGTCCGAGGTTTGCCTCTCAGGATATCTGTGCAAAAAGCTGAATGATCGCCCTTGCTGGGCTTTGGAGGTAGGAAAAGACAAGCAGCTGAACATTCACACTGATTCCAGCTATGCCTTTGGGACTCTACATGTGCACAGTGCTGTCTCTTGGGAGAGAGGCTTCCTGACTGTTGGAGGAAATCCCAGGAACTGTTAGGCCTCTTACAGGGTGTTTGGCTGCCTGCCAAAGTAGCCATGCTTCAGTGCCCTGGACTTCAGATGGGCAGTTCTATGGAAGCTCAAGGAAATCAGGCAGCTGACTCGGTGGCTAAACAAGTTGTCACTGGCTCACATCTTAGTAGTTCTACTTCTTAAGCCACCCAAATATTCAAGAACTACAATGGGCTTAAAGAAAAGGGGCCAAAGATGAAAACGGGTGGTATAGGGGATTGGTCATTGGGGTCAAGTTAAGACCAGCTGAACTGAATCAGCATGGTGCTGAGTGTGGGTGGCCCACCTGAGGACTGTTGCCAGCATAAAAAGGAGACCTGGAGAGGAACAGTAGCACTGTGGGTTCTCCTAAGTGTTCTTGTTCGGAGCTGTTGGTTCTCCTGGAGGAGCCTGTCATGCTGGCTCCTCTGATATGAACTTGTCTATTATCATCAGAGGAGCTTGGGACTTTGTTGCTGAGAATGGCAGCAGTTCACTTTGGGGGAGTTTTGGTCCTGACTTTGATCATCGCTTCCTGACTCTGGAAGGGAAGATGGATGCTGTTTAATCTCCAGGAGAAGCTTATCATGATGGCTTCCTGATATGTACTCTGCTGTTCTCATTACAGGAGGAGCTCAGGATCTCACTGTTGCTGTGGATGGCTGTGGTTCTTTGCAGGGGAGCCCAGGTCCTTGAGTGTCACCTCTTGACTCCAGTACAGAACCCTTGGCTTCCTGACTACTGATCCTTCATCCTACTGACATGGACTTTCTAGCTTCTTGCTGACCTTTTGGCCTTCCCAGCACAGATCAATGGAATTGACCTGCACGGGTCATTGTTGTGGGCTCCAGGTATTCAGATGGACTCATTCAGGTTACCGTCATGGTATCCAGGCCATTGGCTGGATTTTCTGGGTCTTTAGCGTTGTGGACAAATTTCCTGCACTTTCTTTGTATTTGACTCCATGGGTGACAATTATAAATAATACTGTAAATTATGTGTCCTGTGTGTAATTATTTTCTTTGTAGCCCCTGATTACAACAGATGGCAAGGGAAGGAAAGTTTTCCTTCCTGAGATGCTGGGACATTTTGTGACATAGGACTTACATAGCCGCATCCATTTGGGCAAAACAATTATAGCAAAATTGGTTGGTTGCCATTTCTTTGTTCCAGACTTCGGACTTTGCCTCAGCGTACAACCTGTTCTCACAACAATCCTGTCCCTTGGCCCCAGAAACAACTGGAGACAAGGGACGTTGCCATTTGAAGATGTTGAAATAAACTTTACTGAAATAAAACCCATTAGTGGAGACTAGAAGTATTTGCTGGTGTTGTGGGTAAAGTAGTCCAAGGGCTCTGGGCTAAAGTGGAAGCCTCATACAGCTATTTGATACCAGAGTTTGGGATAAGTTGAGAGAGAGAACAGAACTTTGAAAAGCATCTTGGCAAAACTATGCCAAGAAACCGGAGCTCACAGGACTGCTATGCTTCTAGCGGCACTGCTCTGATCATGGTGTACCCTCTATTAGGATGAACTGACTTTTCTTGAAATAATGTTTGGGAGGCTGCTACCACTCTTGTGTGTTACAAGAGATGGAAACCTTTGACCTGCACCAGCAGATAAAAACATTACACTGGCTTAATCCTTCCGTTTTATGAGGCTTTTGTCCTCTGAGAGCCCGGCCCTCAGCCAGATCAGCTGCACCCCACAGGAAGAGATACCTCTTCTCTGATTCTTGGTAGAACCATTTATGGACATGACTTCAGGGTGAATAACCTGGTGAAACATATGAACCATGATCCAGTTGGGGCCCGATATGCCTGGCTCAGGGTCAAATTCTGGTTGCGTGCAATCTGATTGCTTTTAGTACTCAGCCAGGAATAAATGGAGTGACTTACTGGAGCTGGCTCATACTGGTCTGAAAGAACTAATTGTTAAAGTTTTAGGAATTTTGTGAGAGTTTGAATCCAGTCACTTTTAGGATACAAACACTGTGGAAATTAACAAGTGCTACAAATAAGGTTTGGGGAGTTCCATTCATTGGCCCTCACACCAGCGACTAAATATCTTCTTTCACATGAGTTATAGGTGGAAATTATTTTACTAACCTCTCTATATATTCCCAGTGGGGTAGATTTGTCAGCTTTTTGCGCACTTTTTTTTTTAAACTGAGAATGATTTTTTTTAAAGTAGTCCATTCAGCTTGCATCTATAAAACAATCACTATAGACTTCCTTTCCATAGTACTGGGGATTTAAAAATCTTCCTATAACCAAATTTTAAAAAACATACTACAGAAGGTATAACAAATATTCATATAAAATATATGTATCTATGTGAAAATAGCAAGAAAGGAATTAATGCACATTACTAGAGTATATCACTTATCTACAAAAGTTTACCTCTGTATATGTAGTTGTGCACGTGTGTGTATGTGTGAATATTTAGCTCTCCCAGGGAAGAAAGAACTAAAAGAAAACTGGAAACCCAGGGGATCTGACATATAAGTTGCTTCTGTGGAAGTTATATCAAGGTTTTTCTCTCATAACCAAAGGGCTTATATAATTCCTACTTTTTTGGTGAGAATGTAAACTAGTACAACCACTGTGGAAGTCAGAGTGAATATTTTTCAAAAAACTCAGTGTAAATTCCTTTTACCCAGTATCTGCCCAAAAGACCTCAAATTACAGTGATCCGTGCACACCCATGTTTAGAGCAGCACAACTCTTAACAGCTAAATCTTGGAAGCAGCTTGTATGTCCATCAACAGATGAACAGATATAGAAAATGTGGTTTATTACACAAGAGTATTAACCAGCCATAAATAAGGATGGATTTGAGTCATTTGTAAGCAAATGGGTATGCTTAGGGATCATAATGTTCAGCAAAATAAAACAGATACGGAAATTTAAATATCATATGTTTCTTTTATATGAGATTGAGAGTATAAACAATTTAAATGGAAAAATACAAGACAATAGTAAACAGGTAGACCTTTTGCAGATGGAAAGGAGATCTAGGGATGGAGGGAGTGATAAGGGGAGGAGGGGAAATAAAAGGATTAAGAAGAAATTTCTATATGTATGGACTCTCCACAAATAATGCATGCCTTATATATTTACATATATGATAATAAAAACATTGCTAAGAAGATTTAAAAGAACTAAAAGAACTGAAGATACAAAGCAGTTGCTGTCAAGAGATACGTCCTGGGAAGAACGGTGGCCCCATGAAAAATCCTCTCAGGTCAACATTCCATGTTCCTGTTTCTGTGTGAGATGGAACTAAAACTTCCTCACCCCGGAGACAAGTATAGACCTGTCCAGTGTCTCAAGCAGTTTTCTCACACACCTGCTGTGGGAAGATGAGTCCAGAGACACAGTGGAGAGTTCCAGCATTAGGATAACACCCGAGGAAGCCATCTCTGCAAATCATACGTATTTTCAGCTCTTAAATACTTGAGGGCTGGGTGTGGTGATACACACCTGTAATCCCAGCATTTGGAGGCTGAGGCCCATGAGGGTTGTTTCGAGTTCGAGACCAGCCTGGGCTACAAAGTGAGCTCAAACCTGGGCTGACCTACATAGCAAGACCCTGTCTCAAAAAGACAAAAAAAATTTTTTTAGATAACTGAAGACCCTCTAAACTATTCATTTAATTCATTTTCTCTCCCTTCCTCACCTCTCTAATTCTGGACACTGAAGGGCATAGACTCAATCTGTCTAAAGCCAAGGTTTCCCTTTTTTTTTTGGGTGGCTGGGAACATATCCTAAGCTGTGCAGATTCAAGGGACTACATAGGCAGCAGCTAGTAGCTGAGTTCACTGGTTTTCTTTATTTCTTTTCCCTAAAAACCTCACTCCACTTTCTTTTCTCCTCTCCCACTCTGAGACTTTCATCAGGAAACTCAAATTCTTTAACTTTTTCTAATGTGAGTTAGCAGGGAAGTAGGGCATGGGTGGAGGCTTGGGCTCCTCCAGTTTCCTTGAGTTCACTTGAGAGGCGGCTATCATTCTTCTGTGTGGGAAGGGAAGGGAAGGAGAAGGGAGGGGAGAAGAGGAGAGGGAAGGTGGGAGAGGGAAGGGGAGGAGAAGGGAAGGGAGAGGAGGAGAGGGAAGGTGGGAGAGGGAAGGGGAGGAAGAGGGAGGCGAGTGGAGGGCCCATTCTGTTTCCAGCCTATGCCATGGTACTGTTTGGAGAAGACAGTAAATCATGCCCAAATTATTGGATTGACAAAGGCAAGGGGAAAGAGAGGAAGCATTTGCTTTTCTACTGGGCCACACCCTGAGAATATGTGTCGTTGGGACTTTGTCCACAGCCCCTCAGACCACCTTGAGAAGGGCTTCATTTCAAATTCACTCACATTTGCCTTTGCCATCTTTGATTCTAGGGCTGTCTGCTTCATCTCTATATTTTCTTACTCTTCTGTGGACTTACTGGGTCATGATCCTAATATCAACTTTTCTCCTTACACCTGATTTGGTTTAGGCTTTAAAAAAAATAACTTTAACTTCCGGGAGAACATGGCGGACAGATAACAGCAACTACCGGAGGCTCTCTGAAAGACTCGGCTCAGAAGCCAGGAATGGTGCGGACTAAGGAGACATAAGCAGGTGGAGATATGCTCTGCTGACTCAGGAACGAACTGGGCTGAGAGAAACCAACTTGGAATGCAGTCCTGGTGCTAAAACAGGAACAGAAAAGAATCAGTGTGGAGGCTGGACCCCGCGCCATTGTAAGCCGCGATTTGGGTTTCCCGCCGCGCGGCGGCTGGCTGCCTCTACAGTGGCTCGGCAAGGAGAGAGATGCACAGAAGCTCTGACAATGGCAATCTGCGAACGGCAGGGAGGCGTGCACTGACTTGTGGTGAGGTGAGTGAGAGAAACTGACACTCTACCACAGTTTGACTCCAGCGGAGGACTTTCTGGGCTCGGGCAGTCCTGCAGGAGCAGGGCGCGGTGGTGACTCCAGCCACACATCCCCCTCTCGGGCGGGATTGGTGAAAAGTGCCTGGCCTGCATGACGCTGCCGGTGGACCCGGTAGGCTGTCCCAACCCAGATCCCAGAGCCTGACGGTGGCCGGGAGGGGAGACGCATAGGCTGCCTGGTCCGTAACTCCCTGGTGCGCAGCGGTGAGCGGGAACACCTAACTGGCGCAATTCGATCAGGCTGTGGCTGACAGGCAGGGAAGCTGGGCCTCTTATATAAGCTTGCATATATAAGGAACAGAGAAGAAGAGGCAGCATGGGAAGAGGCACCAACAAGAAAAGCTCCTCGGCCCCCAATTCTGAGAAACAGGCAATAGCAGACACCGCGCCAATACACATAAGGCGCCATATAGAGAGCCTCATAGACAAATTCAGGAATGAAGTTATCAACGACCTGAAGCTAGAAGTATGCAGAATAGTTAGAGAAATGCTAAGTACCACCCAAGAAAAAACAGGTGGCGGAATGGAAGAACAGAAAAAAAGGGGAGAATTGTTTGATGGAGAAAACAGAGAAAGCATAGAATACGTGAAGCAGGTTCAAAGGGACTACCAAGATACTAAGAAGTCTATCGAAGACTGGCATAACAGCTTGAAAGAAACTAAGGACAGACTATCTGAACTGGAGGGCAGACTTGTAATATGGGAGAATGAAATGAAAAACTTCTTAAAAATAACAAAGAAACAAACAGCAATAATACAAAGACAAGAAGATGATAAGAGGATCCATAACTTAAGGATTAAGAACATAAAAGAAGAAGTAGGGACACAAACAAGTGAACTACAAAAGCTACTCACAGAAATAATCCAGGAGAATTTTCCTAATTTAGCAAAAGGTAAAGATACTCAGATGTATGAGGCATACAGGACCCCAGCTACCTACAACCCAAACAGAGCAACATCCAGGCATATAATAATAAAAATTCCAGAAATTCAATACAAGAACAGAATATTAAAAGCTGTCAGAGACAAGAAACAGACCACTTACAAGGGAACACCCATCAGAATT